CAGCCAATTTAGTACAGGAAATTTGAAGACTGAATGCTAAAGGAGAGCCACAGGGCAGGTGTCTCATCAAGGAACCCTGGTCACCCAAGACATGCTCACAGAGACTCAGGGCCAGGGTAAGGTGTTGTGACTCACTGGCTAACTCTTCACAACATTTTAAATGTTTTTGACATAAAGCACAAGAAGACCTTTATGGGTTGGTTTCCTTGGATACTTCAGCTAAGAACAAATCTGGCTTTTAAAAACACATGTTATTCTTGTACTTAGGTGACAAGTAATATGGCTCAAAGGGACCCTATGAACAAAAGATCTAAATCCTGCTCTGTCCTCACACTTCCTGACACACAAGAACCCATTGCAGCACTCATTGTCAGTCTTCCTGGTTGAAGGTCTTCCTTTCCTTCGCCGACCCTCCACCCTTCCCAGCATCATGTCCCTCTCCACAGAATAGCCCTTCCTAGCAACATGTCCTAAATATGTGAGGCAAAGCCTTATTATTCTTGCCTCCAAAGAGCACTCCGGCTGCACCCTCTCCAAGATGTATCTGTTCATTCTCTTGGCCATCCATGGGATGTTCAGTGCTCTTCTCTAGCATCACAGGTCAAAGGTGTCGATTCTTCTGTCATCCTTATTCAATGTCCAGCTCTCAGATGCACAGCTGAGCATATGTTTACAAACACATCATCTATGTGAGATACCTCATATCTCAACTATCTGAGATACTTCTCATCCTGCCTTTAGATGTGTTTTGTGGCCTTGTCAATAGAAAGGTGGTGGTGTGAGCCTAGGAACACTGGCTGTGCGGCAAGGTCTTGGCTGCCGATCAAAGGGTCGAAAGTAGATCCTACCAGCTGCTCTGCGGAGTGAAGATCGATCATTGCCTTGGAAACACTCTGGGCAGTTCTGCTCCCTTCTGTATGGTCACCATGAGCTGGAATTGACAGGATAGCACTTAACAGGGACAAGCATATTCTCATAAAATTGGGAGCAGCAGGATGGCAGTGGGAGAATTTTTGAGGCGAGGGAAATGGCTATAGGGCAAGAAAGTAGTTGGGATTCTTGGATGGGAAGGAATGTTCAAAGTCATTGTGTTAAACACAGTCAGCATATTAAAATATATTAAACACCAGGCTGCTCATGTGTAAAATGGGCATCCACATCACAGGACATGGTGAAGGACAACGGAGACTTATTACTGCATTTCAACCACATAGAACAGTCTGCAGAGTGGCAACTGCTCATTAATGGTCGTTCTTTCTCTTATTTAATAGTACCAGCAGTAGTCCGCAGTAGTCAGGTGGGGAAGGAGGCAAGAATGATATTGTGAGGGGATAAAGATGAAGGCTATTCTTTTAATTGTGGGATAACAAAGAAAGATCTCTTCTCATTTGCAACTACTGTCCAAAGATCTCAATGGGGCAATAAAATAGGGGGATACCATCCAATTAAAGAGGAGATGTAGGAGCCCTGGAGAAATTAGTACTATCCAGGGGATTCATTTGCAGGAGATTGTTTGCCCTTTTTCAGAAAAAAATAAAAAATAATTGAAAGCTTCTTTCACTGGGCAAATGCCTTTCCAGACTGGTCCATGAAAGCAATGTGCGTAGAGATGCCTGTTGGTTGCCATGGTGAATGATGCTGATCTGAAGAAATGAATAATGTGAGCATTGGGGGCGACAGCGAGATTACTCAGACCGTGGTGAGAGAGGTATCCAGGAGAGCCCACGGCGGAGGAGGGGAGAAAGCACCATTCTTTCAGCTTTGGTCCACTCTGCCTTTGAGGCTGAGCGTAAGCAGGGGACACAGCCAGCATCAGGTAAGAGACAGGAATGGCGCTTCTTGAAAATGTAAATAGCTCCTCCCTTCATACTCGCCTTGCAGAAGGTCCAGGGCATGGCAATATGAGCTCATAATAGGGGGCATTTAGAAACAGAAGTGGTGGAAGAAAAGTAAATAAGGAAGAGTGATTTGATCTGAAAAGCGGGATGTGCTGCTAGCACCCAGGCAGAAAGCTCTTCATAATGTCTGCTGTGGGGAACTCCGTCTGCAAAGCCAGCCAGTATCAGACAGGAGGCAAACTGGAGAAAAGACTAGGACAAGAAACGTGATTCCCTTCCCCCTGATGGGAAGGTTTAACAAAGGGAGTAGTCTACGTTATCATAAGCAATGAATTAAGCTCTTCTCCTTGTGGCTGGACGTGTAGTAACAGGATTGTGTGGGGTGCTGGGGTGGCTGCGTGTGTAAGAGGAGACTAAAAGAGGGAGCACAAATATTCTTTCTCCTTTGTAGTGAGTGACTTCCCCTGGAAGGACCAGAGTTTGCCGCTCTAGACCCTGTCATTACCTATTTTTCTGGAAAGAAATTTCCAACTGAGTGGAAAAATAATCATCTCCTTCTCCAACATTTTAATTCACTGTCATCTTTAGAGAAGGAAAACAGGGTTGGAAAGTTACTCTGTGCTGTGTATCTTTCTACATAGCTCTCTGAGAAATACGGACACACACACACACACACACACACACACACACACACACACACGGGAAGGGAAACAGGGCAGAGAGAATGGCAGGTCTTAAAAGAAATCAGTTCAGCTTCACATCCAATTCAGATTAAAATCCTAGCAACTACTGTTTACTGTACTGTGACCCAAAGCTATTCCTTGGAAAGGGACGTCATACTTGGAAAGGTAGAGAGTCAGTGAAATACAGGAAGACTCCCAGTGAGATGGTTTAACACAGTGACTGCAACAAAGGGTTCAAATGTGTCAGAGATTGTGAGGATGGCAAAGCACAGGACAGGATTCAGGTCTGTTGTTCACAGAGTTGCTACGAGTCATACTCGACTCAGTGACACCTAACAACAAGGCAAAATCTGGATATCACATTAGAGAGGAAGGCAGACGTATATTTGCTGAGCATGATTATCTCCTAATTTTACATTAGGGGAGGTTTAGTGGAGGGATATGTATCTTTCAAATGGATATAATTACAGAGAAATGACACAGCTTGAAAACGGCTTTCTCTAACCAAAGTGGCAGAGCTGGCAAGCTGAAAATAGTTATCTGAGCTGTCTGGAAAAACACCAGCTGGGTTTCCGCATCACCACCTCATTTTGCAATAATGGTCAGTCGCTAAACCAAGCAGCCTTCATTCAGAAATCAAATGTTTGAGTAGCTTTGTGTCTTCGTTTGCTGTGTTCTTAAAAAATTCTGACTTATTTACAAAGTTCGAATACATTGTTTTTAAGAAAAAATTATAAGCAGAATGACCTAGACTGTACATCTTTAAAATGGGGATCCACCTCAGAGGGCCTGGTGAAGAAGAAAGACTTAGTCCAGTACATTAAGCATTGAGTATAACCTGAAACAAGTGCTCACTAAGGAGAGCTATTATAATGTCATAGTTGTCATAGTCAGTGTCAGTGGTACTAGTAGTAGTAGTAGTAGTAGTGAGCTGCTCTGATGGGATAGTCCATGGGGGGCTGTACAGCTAATCCAAAGACCATGCTTCTATGGCAGGTCAAATGCAGCAGTGACTCCACGAGAGAAAGAGGGAAAATCTCCTCCCGTGCAACTTACAGCTTTGAAAACTCAATGAGCTCTGAGATGGTTCTGACTCAATGACTATGAGTTCGGTGGAATAGTAGCAGTTGTATGTTTGTTGTTGTTGTATGCCTTCAAATTGGAATTAACCCACAGCTGACCCTCTGGCGGGTTTTCAGGGGCAGTAAATTGCTTGGGAGAAGACTGCCCATCCTTCTCCAGTGGGGCAGCTGGTGGGTTTGAACTGTTGTATCTTTGGGACTATAGTGTAGCTTCTTACCACAAAGCCACCAGAGCTCCCTTTGCAGTAGCTGTTGCGGTTTTCACATGGGACAGGACTGCCCACCTTCCTCCAGCGAAGCAGCTGGTGAATTCAAACTGCATGCCTTTGGGACTGCAGCACAGCTTCTTATCACCAGGCCACCAGAACTCCTTTTAGTAGTAGCAGGAGGAGTAGTTGTTGTTGTGTACCGTCAAGTTGAACCAACCCAGAGCTGACCCTCTGGCAAGTTCTCAAGAGGCAGTTAATTGAACAGGGGGAGACTGACCATCTTTCTCCTGTGGAGAAGCTGGTGGATTTGAACCACAGCTAATATAAGGGCTTGACTATCTTCACCTATGAAACTAATGCCTTGGATATCCTTGGCTTTGAAAGAGCACATCAAGGGAAAAAATTATATTTTATATATATATATATATATATATATACATACATACATACTTACACACACACACACACACATACATACACACACATATATATCTATCTAGGGGTAAAATCAGTTGCTAAGGAGTGGCAAAGCAAATCTTCAGGCTAACAAAGCAGAATGTTCCAAGTTCATGTCATTTGGAGCAGAAGCTATTTAGGAAGAGCAATTTTAGGTCAAACAATTGTCTAACTAGATGTCACAGAACTATAATGACAAAAGTGGGAACTCCGTGGTTCTGTTTCTTCTTCCTCCTTTTTTTTAAGGATTGGGAAAGTATATTGGAGGGATTTTACCAGTTTGGCATGCACAAAGAAATATGGGTGAATTTTCTGTAGGTCTAGGCATCATGACCTTTAGCATGTGCGAGTCCTCATTTAAACTCTTGTTCTGTCACTTCTTAGCTATGCCTAATTAAGTACCATAATTTCTTTGCTTCCATTAATTTATAAAATTGGAGGTTATATTAGTTTCTAGAACATATTCAGTAAGTGGCATCTACAATTACTATAAGGATCCTTGACTAGCAAATACTCACCTCAGGGCTGATAGTTGGAACCTACCTACCATGTCATGGAAGAAAGATGGTTTGCTTCCAAACCTATGGAGCAGTTTTACTCTGTTCCATAGGGTCTCTATGAGTCTGAACAGACTCAACATCACTAAGTTTGTTTGGGTTTTAGGACCTTTATGAGTAAGTATTTAGATAGGGGAATATTACTCTTCACTTTGATTCTGGTTCCAGAATTGAGATGAACATCAAGGTTGGGAACGTTTCTTATACGAGAGCCATCATCTCCTGGTCGTCCTCGGAGACCTGCCTGGAGGACTATTACCATGTTATGTATAGACCCAATTGGAACAGCATCTTCTCTGGCTATCTTCGCTACAGCTTCCACCACGAGGAGAAGGTGCCTCGCACGATCAGCACAGTAGCGCTCGAACATCTGGCTCCTTCCACTCTCTACATCCTGTGCATCAGCTGCAAGAAGGCCGCCTTCCCCTACAGGCACGACTGCACCATGTTCCACACCCTGGATAAGAGACCACTGGCTTCTGGAAGCTCCCTGGTGGACCCCCAGATCTCGCTTTGGGTGCTGATGGCCATTCTGCTGGCCTGTTTCACAGCTGTCTTGGCCTTCATCTGTCTCCAGTTCTGGTGTATTCGCTGCCACGAGCCTCGCTGGTCTTACAGAGCTGGCCTCATGGAGGAAGCCAATGGGCTGGTGAGATGGCCGGAAGAAACAGCAGCCATTGGCCAGAGGGAAGAAGACCTGCAGGGGCTCCCCCTCGTGGAACTGCCACGCAAGAACTCGGCAGCAGCCGCTGAGCCGGAAGCAGAAGCTGCACACGATGCCGCAGAGGGCATGGGTGCCTTCCCCAGGCAGGGCGCCCACCAGCCTGCCAGGCTGCCTCAGTTTGTGGAGTGAGCAGCAGGAAGGAGACAGTCCATACGACCTTTCTAAAACCCTGCACTTCTTAGGTCTTTGCTTAGAAAACACCTGTGTCTCTTGAGTCCCTGTTTCTCACCCAGCAAATGTTTGTGTCCTTGTGGAAAAACTAGGTGAATCTCTTATGACAAACTGCTCAAATGTATGTCCCAGTGTACACAAAGGGGAAAACGTGGCATTGCTCACTAGACTCCATTGTAAGGTGCAGTTAGAATGAAAAGCATTATTTTAACATTAAAACAACCAAGAATATACTATGGAGGCAAAGTGTGAGATTTGTATTATAATAACAAACACAATACTTCTAGGACATTTTTTAGTTGCAGATGGGCTTTACTTTTAGTCCAATGGATAAATATTGTCTTTGAAGTTAGGGAGATTGTGTTTATACAATTGTGTCTATCACCTTATATATTCTATGTCGTATTATAAGATGTGAGAAGCCTTGCTCTAGAATTTTCCAAATCCCAGGTACAAATTGTACCCTACTGCCATTCTCTCTGTCTCTCTCTCTCTCTCTCACACACACACACACTCTCTCTCTAAAGTACAGACAACTATTTTTTTCTTTCAATTCATTCATTTTTACAACTTAAGCTTGTTTTAAGAAGATAGCAGTAATTACCCCATAAAATAAACCAACCAACCCCATACTCTCCTGTTATAAATAAATGCAAAGAGCTACAGAAATAAATACAATGAAAATAAGTTCAAATTAGATTCAGTTGTACGCCCAAGGCTTGGTGCTTGCAGCCTGCTCTCGTATTTTTGGTAAAAAGAGAGATAAGCAAGTACTGGAGAGAGATTAACAATACTAGCACCATAATATGACCTTCTCCTTTGATTTAATAATATGATTTGAAATTAATGAATATTTTTTAATTCCAAGGCTGTGAAGTAAGGGTCCCTTGACTTGAGACAATTGTCTTGATGAGACTGGCTGTGCTAAAGAAGGCCTTGCCCTCTCCCAGCATCATCCTAAGATCCTCTCAACCCCATGGGGCTCAACTGCTGGGAACTCATTTAATTACCCTTACAAGCAGGGCTCCCAGACCTAGACGAGCACTTCGCCTGACATTATTACAGTCAAACTGTCAGTTCCTCTTCTACATCCATTAGTGCTTTTTCTTTTTGAGAACAACATCAAGGGTGCCCATTTGTATTCCATTGCAAAGGAATAAGCAGGCATTGTATTTGTTTAACAGCTTATCCCTTTCCATGGCACCTTTACCACCTCACATAACCTCTGTGGTAGAAATTAATCTCCTACATACTAAGTTGTGTTGAGCATTTGTGAGCACTGTCCCCGTGACTTGCCATAGCTGTGAAAATGGATGGAACCCAAGGAAGAGAGAGAGAGTCTGTTTTGAGGCTGGAATATCTCCTGTGTGTAAAACCTGGCATTGTGGGCATTCAATAGAAGTTAATGGCAAAAAGAACTGACGGGCTTAGAACAGGTACACTGTTCGGGAAGGTTTAGTTAGATCCTGGATGTATATGCATGGCCAAGAGCAAGTAAAGAGTCACAAGACCTGCTGATCAGCTCAGTCTCTAGTTATCTGAGACTTCTTTCAAAGCTCCACCTTCTGAATCTTTTCCTGTTTCCAATCTCTCATATTTATGGAATGCAACACCCAGAACCACAGGAAGATACTGCGATGAATCCACTGAGATACAGAAGGAAAAGGAAAGCTGAGATGAGAAACCCCACAGACCTATTTCTTTCTTGCTTACTTAAAGAAGTCCTCACCTGTTTGCAAGCAGTTTCCTGCCTGCTAGTTCTGTGTTCACTTCGTCCCTGCCAGCTATGCACAAATAAAGGTGAATATATGTACCGTTGTTTCTGCCTGGGTCTTACTGCTACCTCTTCTCCTTTACTGTTCTTTACTGTTCCAGACAACACCTTTTCTATTTGTTTTCTCTCAGGCAAGAGACAGTGGGACTACTCACCTTGGATCCATAAAGGTAATAAGGCTGGACGTTAGCGGGTTTATCTCTTTGTGGTTCTTGCGTAAAAGGAATGGCAGTTCGAACAAAACTGGTAGAAGAGAAGAAATGAGAAGGATGTTAGCTGGGCCTTAATATTACAGAGCTCTGTGAGTTGGAATAGGCTCAATGGTAGTAGGATAATACCCTCTGCAGGGCATGATGGGGTGAGGACCCTTCCTGGGCAAATAAAGTGTCACAGTGGTATGTTACTATTTCTTTAGAGGTTGCCTATATAGGCACTAAACTGTTCTAAGATCCTCTTGTTCAACTATGATGTCCTCTCCTTAGATGGAAAAACAGCAGTCTAGATCAGCAGTCTCTACCTGGGGCCAGTCCTTGGAAAAGGACATCATGCTGGGAAAAGTGAAGTCAAATAAAGAGAGGAAGACCTTTATCAAGATGAATTGACAGTGAGTGTAACAATGGGCCCAAGCACATCAGAGATGGTGAGAATAGTGCAGGACAGGGCAGGGTTCAGATCTGTTGTTCATCATGTCGCTATGAGTTGTTGTCTCCAAAGCACCTAACAACAACTCAGGCTCATGGTTGCTCAGAAGGACAGAGGGCTGGGCCTTCTCCAGGACGCAACTCCTTCAACACCAGCTTGGTTTATCAAGAGCAAGGGTCAACAAATTTTATTTTTTTTTCTGTAAGTATTCTAGACAGTAAATATTGTAGGCTCTGCAGGCAGGCCATACATCTGTCTCAACTACTGAATTCTGACATTGCTGGGAGAAACTGTCATCAAAAATACACACCCAGATGAGCATCGCTGTGCTCCAATAAACTATAAATTTCAAGAAATATTCACTTGCCACCAAATATTATGACTATTTTGAACTTCCCCCAACCATAAAGAACATCAAAGTCATTGTTAGCTTGTAGGTTGTGGAAACGCAAGTGGCGAGTTCCTCAAGAGAGGCATTTCAAATCTTCAGAGGACTGCAAGTCTGTCTTGCTAATGGATTCAGCTGCCTCTGTGACTTCCTCTCATACATTTCCATCAATCACAAACGTATACAGAACCCTAGCATACTGAGGAGGGTCTGTAGATGTATACATTCCTGTGCATTCTTACACACTGATGCGGAGTCCATGGAGAGTACAAATAGCTAACTTGCTTAGCTGCCAGCTAGAAGGATTGGAGGTTCGAGCCTATCCAGAGGTGCCTTGGAAGAGAGATGTAACAATCTACTTCCTAAATCTCAGCCACTGAAACACTATGGCACATAGTTCTAGTCTGAGACACGTGGGGTTGTCATTAAATGGAGCTGACACCATAGCATCTGGCTTTCTCTACTTGTGTATCTGCCTCGCCTCTTCACCCAGGTTAGGAGCCTCTGTAGGAACAGAGATTAGGAACTGCCTCTCCCTCGGTGTCTGGACCAGGCATGTGCACGCTGAGGGAGGCACGTTCCTCCCTATCACGTGCATGTGTGCTCCCCAAATGTATGTCTATTCCAGATAGAGACTGGTAGAAGTCCTTAAAGACCACCATCTGATCAAGTCACTTCTCTATCTTAAACTCAGTCTGTAAGTGTCTTGTCTTAAAATAGCCAGCAGCATCACATGGGTCAACCTCCTGCTTCCTTCTGTGTGCTGCCTTGTCTTTCAAAGTTCCATATCTCATCCCACTCCCTCCAACCTCATCAGTTTCTTGGAAACTACTCATTCTATGTTACCTTATTTATTTGTACTTATCCTGCACATCTCACCTAAAGAATGGTATCTTCAGAGAATCTTTCCTGAGGCTTATGTCACCTTCCTGGTATAAATCACATGGTCCTGAAACCCTCTCAAGACTGTGAGTCTGTCTTTACCTCTTTGTTCACGGGCTGTGGCATCTACTATGCAGTTGTTCAGTTGTCGGCATCCTTCTCTGGCCTGAAGGCTTCAAGATGCTTAGTCACCATGGCACCCCCAGCCTTTAGCACTAGGAAGGTGTTCAGTGAAATGCTCACAGCGGAATGGGTGGAGGTGAATTGTACCTAGTTTGGAGGAGACAGGTAACTGGTCCCTTTCCCCAGATAGTCCTTACCGGTTTGTGGACCCATTGTAGCAGTAGTTGGGGAGGAAGTCAAAGTTCAGCTCCCAGAAGACATGCAGGGTGATGCGGCCATAGGGGGCGGACACGTTGTGATTGGCCTCCCGGAACATGGCATCGAAGCTGTCCAGGGTCATGTGCTTACACAGTAGACGATGCGTGAGCCGGTTGATCTCCAGCAGCCACTCGAGCTCCTGCCCAGAGAGAACCGCAGCTGCTCAGGAGTCGGGCGTCAACCTTATATGCACACAGCACCGGATCTTACGGATCCTTCATGCAGGTGTGACTACCCCTTGCACTCTCATCCCACTTCTACACTGGTTAGGAAAAAGCCTGTCACTCAGTGTCACAAGTAAAGCAAAAGAATGTTAGGATGGGGTTATTATTAAAGACTACATTTCTGTCCTTCAGAAAATACTAGGCGTTATCTAGGTGGACAGGGGACTCAAGCCCAGGCACAGTGACACCTCGTAGGTGTCATGATGAAGTAGGCTACAGCTGGGGCTACAGACAAACTGAAGAGAGCACAGACCATACCATCAAATGGGCACTTCAAGAATTTCCAGGAAACCAATGCCATCTAAGAACACTACTCTCATGTGGCCAGAGTGTCTTTTTTTTTAAAAAATTCTTCCTAATGAGACACGTTGACTCAAAATTCCGAATACACTGTGCAGCCTAAACACAACACAACTTGTTCCACTTCAGGGTCTGGTCACCCTGAGAATCTATTTGCTTAGTTTTGGGAAACAAGCTACCTGATGGACCAACCTCTACCATCTCCCCAGCTCCAAAGCTGCCTCTCTACCACCACCACCCAGAATGCGTTTCTTGGACAGTAGGATGGAGCTGACAGCTGAGGGAAGCACATTCCTTGGTTTGTTTGCCGTATGGTAGAGGCAGAAGCTTCTCTGCCAAGATGAGCGATGAGTAGGGTCGACCTGGTCTCAAGAGGAGAGCACTCCCCTGGGGCCTCTTCTCTGTGGGCATCACAGGAAGTGGGTTTTCCCAGGAAGCCACTGCTCTTACCTGACAAACAAAGGCTTTCAGTCGTTTTAATTTTTTTTTTTTCAGATAAAAGAACATTCAGTACCTTTCAAGGGGTGGTGATAGGTCAGGGATTTATTTTTTTAAAAAAACAATACAATTTTATTTTTTTTTGTTCCCATAAGGTATTCTCATTAGGAGAACCTAGAAAATGTACATAAACAAAAGAGAAGAAAATAAAAACCTCAACGCTTGGAGATAATCACTGTGAACCTTTTGTCATAAACAAAGTACAATTCTGTTTCTTAAAATAGAGGTGGACAGATGATTTCCCAGCAGAACATGTGCTGCTATATTAGAGTCTCTTGAAATAAGTGACCCAGGCCTGAAGTGGGCAGCTGGGCCAAGTCCTGTGTTAAACGCTGCTAGAAGTTCTCCCTGAGAACACTTGATCACGCCAACAGTCTCTATGTTCCCCTCAGCCTCTTTTATAAGCTGCTATTAATGAATGTTTAATATTTGAAAGGACAGACTATTCTCAGGGGCTATCTCATTTCATCCTTATAACCACTCTGTGAGGTGGATTCTCTTTCCTCTATTTTATACCCAAGGAAATAAACTTGAGAAAGGGAAGTGACTTGCCTGAGATCAGCCGGCTGGTTAGCAGTAGAGGAGGACCAAGCCCAGGCCTTCTAACTCTAGTTGCTGGTGTTGTTGTGTACCGTCGAGTCAGAACCAACTCCTAGCTGACCCTCTGGTGGGTTTTTAGAGGCAGTTAATCACACGGGAGGAAACTGCCCATCCTTTCCCGCTGAGCACCTGCATGCATTCGAGTTATGTGCCTTTGGAACTGCAGCGAAGCTTCTTACCATTAGGCCACCAAGAGCTCCTTTCTGACTCCAGGGTCCTAGTTACTAATACCATCTTTCCCTATTTTGTCCAGTTAAACCCAACAACAAAATAAATAATTTATTGCTATCAAGTTGGACTCAACTCAGAGCTGACCCTCCAGTGGGTGTTCAGAGGCAGTAAACTGCAAGGGAGATTGTCCATCCTTCTCACATGAAGCAGCTAGTGGATTTGAACCACTCACCTTTGGGTTGGAAGTCCAACTCTTTGCCCAGTAGGTGATGAGCTCCGTGGCCCTTAAACACAAAAACCTCCCAGAAACTCCTTTTCATTGTGAAACAATTTTAGACTTACAAATAAGTTATAAAAATATATATCCTGAATATCCTACATCCCACAATTACCCACACCAGAACCACTGTCATTCTGACTCCTAGTGACCCTCTCTTAGGTTTCCAAGGCAGGAGACATTTGGGATGAGGCTGAGCCTCTTTTCCCTGTGGAACAACCGGTGGATTTGAACTGTTGGCCTTTTAGTTAGCAGCCCGACATATTTATGTACTACATAACCAGGGTTCCTCTAACACCTTGCATGTTGTTGTTGTTATTGTTAGGTGTCCTCAAGTGAAGCATGACTCATACCGACTCTTTAAAAAAAAGGTCTGAACCCTGTTCTATCCTGCGCCATCCTCACACACAAGAACCCATTGCAGCACTCATTGTCAATCTTCCTGGTTGAAGGTCATCCTCTCCTTTGCTGACCTTCCACTCTTCCTATCATGATATCCTTCTCCAAGGAATAGGACCTTCTAGCAACATGTCCAAAGTATGTGAGGCAAAGCCTTATCATTCTTGCCTCCAAAGAGCACTCTGGCCACACCCTCTCCAAGACATATCTGTTTGTTCTCCTGGCCTTCTATGGGATGTTCAGTGCTTTTCTCCAGCATCACAACTCAAAGTCATCAGTTCTTCTTCTGTCCTCTTTATTCACCATCCAGCTCTCAGATGCATAGCAAGTGATCTAAAAGACTATGGCCTGAATCAGACGCACCTTAGTCTTCAAACTGACATCATTACTACTCAATAATTTAGAGAGATCTCTAACTGCAGATTTTCTCTGTACAATATGTCTCCTTATTTCCCGGCTGCTGGTACTAAGAGTGTTAACTATGGATCCATGCAAGATGAAGCTGTTGACAGTTTCAATCTCTTCTCCATCCATCATAATGTTGCTTATTGGTCCAGGTAAGAATCTCTGTTTTCTTGACATTGAGATGCAATCCATAAATCCATACCAAATCTTGCATAATCACATTATAATCACCCCAGCTAGGAAATTAAAACTAGCTTAATCCTATTAACCAAATGGCAGACTTTATTCAGATCTCAGATTTTATTAGCTTTCCCAGAGATGTTCTATTGGAGTTCTAGTATCTATTCCTCAGCATCACCTTGCCTAGCTATAGTTGCTCTTATCTGAAACTGTTCTTTCCTTATCTTTCATGATTTTGACACTTTTGAAGAGTCATGCCTACTTGCTTATGAGGAATGCTTCTTATCTGGGGTTGTCCTACGCCTTCTGATTATTTGATTGAGATTGGCATCTTGCCAACAATTACAAATTACAATTACAAATACGAGTAGGTACCAAATAAAAAAAAAACAAAAACACAACTAAACCCACAGTGAGTGACTCAATTTAGACTCCATGGCAACATCCTGCTGAGCTGTCAAGGTCATAGAGCTCAACAGGAGGAGAAGGCTTCATTTTTACTCTCCAGAGTAACTGGGAGGTTTGGCCTGCCAACCTCTCACTTAGGCAGTGTTAGTAGGTAACACTTCAGCTACTATGCTGCCAGGGCTCCTGCAAAAGGGGCACAGAATATCAATATATTCCATTTCTGGTAATGTTACTAAACCTGAGATTTGATTAAAGAGCTTTCTGCTGATTTTTCTTCACTGTAAAGTTATTCTTTTTGCTTTATAGTTAACAAATATCTTGGGAGAGATTGTTTGAGACCGTGCAAATATCCTTTTTCTCTCTCAAATTTTGCCATTAATGTTGGCATCCATCTTGCCTGCAACAATTATTGCTGTAGTGTTTCAGTGGTGCTATTTTCTTTCCTGCATTCCTTCTCCTCATCCACTATTGAAACATTAAAATCTTCCTTGTATTCCATTAAGCCTAACTCTGGTCTAATTTTTCAAGACGGCAAATAAATGGAGAGCAGTTCAAACTGGGTGTTGGGTTTTATTTTTTTTTTTAATGGGCGGATACAGGATGAATGTTTGATGCAATTTAGAATTGGGTATAGAATTTGCAGGATTCAGTGCAAATGAAAATGTGGGGCTTCTTAGTAAAAAAATTATTAAAAGCTCAAGATAGAAGTGGGGAAACATTAAACCTACAGCCATAAGCTCCTCTGAGCCCCGAGTAACTGTGCCCATGATGCCAATGCTGCTCTATGCCCTTCCCCAGCTTGTTAGGACCATAACACAGATTGAATTGTGTCCTCCTGAAATACTTGCAGGGAGCTCTGGTGGCACAGTCCAGAGTGCTGCACTGCTAATCCAAAGGCACACATCTCTGGTGGTTTAAATCTACTAGTACTCTGAGGAAAAAATATAGACAATCTCCTCCCATACAATTTATAGCATCAGAAACCTGCTGGAGTGTCAACAATGATTCAGACCTGACTTGACGGCAATGAGAAAGAGAAAATACATATAATGATTTAAAGTAGAGCTAAACATGATCTGACAAACTAGATAAGTAGCAAGAGGATGAAAGGTGAAAGGCAACGCAGTCCTACCAGATTTAAGGGGTGCTCTCCTAGGGTATAGCCTATCACAACTTTTACCTTACAAGAGACAGAAGGGAAGGAAAGAGAGTAGGAAGAGGGAACCTCAGTTTCACCAAGGAAAAAACACTAGGAGTGGAGTGTGTCTTTTTGGACTCGTGTCAACACCAGGCAGCTCCTTGACAATGGGGAAGGGACAGGACACGGTGACCTTCAGGGAATGCCCAGTACGCGGGGGCGTTGTGCTGTTAACTCAAAGGCTGTGCAGGTGGCTCTTTGGTGGCTTGAACACACCAGTAACTGCAGAAAAGATGGACAATTTCTTCCCATGCAATTTGCAGCCTCACAAACCCAATGGATGTTCAGCTATGAGTCGGTTCTGATTCAATAGCAATGAGTGAGACAGAAGCAAGGACCTTTTCCCAGAACAGAGACAGAGCTTCCCTAAGAGCTGGCACCTTGCAATTGGACTTCTAGCCTCCTAAAGTGACAGAGAATAAATGTGAGCTTATTAAAACCACCCACTGTGGAATCTCTGTTATAGCAGCACTGGGTGATGAAGCCAGACCACTCCTTCATCTTCTTTCCTCTGCAGAATCCTGAAGGACCAACAGCTGTGCCTGAAAGCTGCTGAGCACTAGGGATTTTAAGAGGCTCCTTTTCACCCAGTGAATTTGGGGGAGGGGGGGCGGGTTTGATAAAACATACTCGTTCTGTTTGTGGTTTTGATTCTTGATTATTCAGAGAGAATGCCGAATGCTTTTCTAGAACTGGCTGCATATTAGTCTGGCAATGATCAGAATTCCCATCAGCTCCCCTCTTCTTACCACAATAGAGGTCAGGTCCTCACTCTCAAAGCGGCTGATGGCCTGGTCGAGGGATTTATACATGGCAGCAGAAATGCGCTGGGTGATGAGTCTATTCAAGTCAATCGATCTACCCAGTAGCTGTTTGGAAAGGAGAGAGAGAAGTGACCCAAGGTACACACAAGGCACTGTTAGGAAACTGGATAGAGTTACAACTGTAAACGGCATTTACAGGGACAACTCGGGATTCAGTAGAAATGGCATTGTTCAGATCCCTTAGGATGACAAGTCACTGTGATTTTTAAAGAAAATATCCTTGTCTTAAGAGACATTTGTAGGCTGAGGCATTCAGAAGTAAAGTGCCGTGCTGCAAACGGTTAAAGCACAAAGTTTATAAACAGATGATATATGTATTTAAGTACAGAAGGATGAGGAATCTCCTCCCATGTGATTAACTGCCTCTGAAAACCTGCTAGAGGGTATGTGTGCATATATATATGTATATATATTTATATGCATATATCAAATGCGATAATGGTTACTCATGGTGGGCAGTGTTTGGTGGAGCTCCTCGATTAAAACAAGCTTGGAAGCAGGAGTGGCATCCACTTCTGAAACAGCTTGCCTCCGGAAACCCTATGAACCTGGGGAAATGTTGAAAGTCAAGTCTTTCATTCATAGGGTCTCTATGAGTTGTCTACGACTTGATGGCCCTTAAAACAATGTATTTACATATATGTAAGTATATTTGTATATATATTTATGTGTAATATGATAAATATATTCATATATGTAACTTTACACATATGTATAAAGCAAGTATATGTGTGTGTATATATACGTGTGCAAGTATGCATACATGTAAGTATAGACACATATTTGTTATCTGTCAATGAATAGGCTCTAATTCACAGCAACCCCATAAAAAGCAGCCTGAATTATTGCCTAATCTGCTCCCTCTTCATCCTCAGTATTTTCCAGCTCACTATTGTGGCTGCTGTGTATGTCGAATGCCTTCCAGCCTAGAAAGCTCACCTTTAAGCACTGTCTTGGAGAGTATTCTGTGATCCACAGGGCTCCTGTTGGCTAAGTTTTAGAAATAGATTGCTACACCTTCCTCCTTGGTCATTTTCTTAGACTGGAAGTTCCACTGAAGCCTGTCCACCATGGGTGACCCTGACGGCATGTGAAACACTGGTGGGTTAGCTCCCAGCAGCACACAAACTACCAGAGTATGACCAACTGACAGATGGAGTTAGTCTGCTTGAAGAGTGCATGAGAGTATTCACCAAATGGCTTTTTAAACACCTCCTGTTTGACATACACAATGTGGAGCAGAAATAAGGTTCATTGTGATGGTGCAATCCTGTGCTGCCTGCAGCCTCCTCTACCATGCTGTGGCTGATATCCTAAATTTAGCCCCGAGTTCCTTTCTGCATCAGTCCTGTGTGCCTCTTCACTGTCACCAGGGAACAGCAGGCACCTCAGTTAGGGACTATTTTGTGCCTTTCTGGGGTGAATTTAAAAGCACGAGAATGGAGGGCTGATTATAGCATGGAAAATATCACTCAGGATGATTTCCACTGGGGCTCACAGGGGCATTAGTGCAGACGCCATGCAATAACAATAAACGTTTATTGAGGGCTTGCTGTGAGCACTGTACCCTACTAGGTGTCAGGTGATTATTCGCAAGGATTTTATCTTTTCTACTTCCCTTTTGGGATACATTTTCTACCAACTGAGTAGGGCCCCTTATAGCCATCTTGTGTGCACATAAAGTTCTCCGTATTTAATATCCTGTGGCTAATTCTGGCCACATCTGCAACTGATAACAGTAATCCTCTGAGAGGCTGAAAGGAAAGTTTTTCTCACCTAGTGCTATTGACACTCAAGAAAATATTCCTTATTCTTCTCCAGTTCCCTTGGATTCCTCATAGCAACTGGAATGTCCATGTTTTCGAGAGTAAACTTTTGCTTTGTATCTTAATCATCTTGGCCTGCCTGCTCCCTGAGTCTGTCCCAGAGACCACAGACCACGTGATAGGCTCTCAGCGATAACAGCAGGAAGACCAGCTCGGCGCTCGGCAGGGTTCTGGAAGTAGGGCACAAAGTCTGCTGGGGTAGCACTTATTTTGTCTGTCTGGCTCCTATAAGCATTTTGAAGTGAGGATAAAAGTCCTCCCAGAAGCATTTTTCCTCTGTCTAGAGACTAATGTGAACAGAAACCAACTCCACAAAAACAGGCTGTAATATCTACCTTGGGTTTTCCTGGACAAGCCTCATTTCATAGATGAGCCAGTCTGCCTTCACTTAGAGCAGCATCTGCGCTCAGTCCATGTGCTGCTGTTGTTGCCTGCCACTGCGCCAGCCGCAGCTCACCGCAACTTCGTGCACAACAGAATAACATGCTTCCAGGTCCTGTGCCATCCTAATTATTAATTATGTAGTGAGCCATGGTGAGCCACAAGATTTGTACTGGGTGATTTAAAAAAATATACTGTCATGTATTTCTTACTAGTCTATCATAGTCAGGAAGAACTAGCTCAGGATCACAGGAAAACACAAGCATCCTCTGATGGTACATGAAGGCTGCCTAAGAGGTGGACTGGCCAGGAACCAAATCCAGGCCTTCTACATGGAGGGTTGCTGTTGTTGTTGTTGTTACGTGCCGTCGAGTCGTTTGCGACTCATAGCGACCCTATGTACAACAGCCCTAAACCCTGCTCTATCCTGTGCCAATCTCATTGCCTCTGACACACCCATCCCGGTTACCCCAGTCACTGAATCAATCCACCTCATAGAGGGCCTTCCCCTCCTGTGCTGTCCCTTCACCCTCCCAAGCATGATGTCCCTCTCCAAGGACCTGTCTCTCCTTACAACATGTCCAAAGTATGTCAAACGAAGCCCCAGAATCCTTGCCTCCAAGGAGTAGCCTGGTTTAACCCTCTCCAGGATGAATCTGTTTGTTTTCTTAGCAGTCCAGGGTGCATTCAATACTTTTCTCCAGCACCACAGTTCAAAGGCATCAATTCTCCTTCTATCTTCCCTGGTCATTGTCCAGCTCTCTGATGCATAACAAGTGATTGCAAAGACCATGGCCTGTATCAGGCGCACCTTAGTCTCCAGAGAGACACCGTTGCTCTTGAGTACTTTAGAGAGGTCCCTAACAGCAGACTTTCCCATCACAATACATTTTTATATTTCCTGGCTGCTGGTGCCAAGAGTGTTGACCGTGGAGCCAAGCAAACTGAAGCTGTGAACAATCTCAATCTCTTCACCATCCATCCTGATGCTACCAATTGGTAGTGCTGACTAAAAGAATAGGTTGCTGCTTTAATGGTCATAACTCATCAGAGGCGAGCTACAGATGGGCAAAAAAGGCAGGAGCTTGAACTGAAAGGAAGCCCCAGTGCCTCTTTACTGAGTGTAAGGTTCTAAAGCTGTTGTACCTATGCTTAGAAATCCACTGTGGGGCAGTACGCAGGGTGGACAGGACACAGTTGGAACTTCTTATCTCTGCACTAGCTTCACAGCTGCTCTATCTTTCTTACCCATTCCGTCTCCACCTTGGCTCTTAGTCTCCATACCTGAACATGTCTCTGTTTCAGCAGTGTTTCATAGCGATTGGATGGCGGGTATGGGATGATGACTCCATAATTCTTACACTCAGCTCTAAAACGTTTATCTAACAGGACACTAAAAAGAGAAAAAAAGTGAAATAAGGTTGGTAAATGAGACAATGAACTGGGGATCTTCAACTCCTCAGGTACACCTTTAAGATTTGTCCATGAAACACTAGTTTACACATTTCAAATACAGTTGGCCCTTGAACAGCACAGGGATTAGGAGCATCAAGCCTTTGGTGCAATTCGAAATCTGCATATAATTGACAGTAGAGTCCTGAACATGTGTTTGACCTGCACAGGCCCAGTGATAATGTGTTTTTTGTTTGCTGTTGTTTTTTCCCTGCTCAAGTGTTGTATCTGCTGACCGTGCAGCTGCACCCTGCTCCTCTCTGCATGAGCATGGGAGAGAGGAACTGCTCACGTGAGGATGACAGTCACATGGAGATTTAAGCAGCTATCCAACGTCGAGGACTCTCCTTCATAGGGTCGTTATGAGTCGCCTGTGACTCAACGGCACTTAACAACCACAACTATATTTGAGCTCACTGCAACAGCAACAGAGTAAAAAAACAAAGGAAATGGAAACTTTGTGCAAGTATAACCACACAGTACAAAATGTGTGATATTCCAAGGACGACTTTACTTTTTTTTTCCTCTGTTTTGGAAGAAAGCTCTTTCCCTGCTCCTTGTTCCCAGTCAAAGACGCTCAATACGTGAAGCAGTTTCCAAGTTAAAGATGGGAATGCAGAGGTTGAACTACTTTCTTCTTTTATTTATTCAACATAAAAGTAATCGAGAACTTTTTATATCCCAGGAAACAATCTATATACCAAGGCAATCAAGTTCCTGTCCTCATTGAGTTTACATTCTAATGAAGACAGATAACAGAATAACACTAGAAAGGTTTTAGTGAAATAATCAAGAAATAAGCTGAGGAATGATACCATTTCTGGCATCAGTAAATATCATGAGTGCTTACTGTTTACCATGCACTTTAAAGAAACACACATGTTTAGCCACGCAACAACCCTGAGTTAGGAGGACAATTATGATTTGATTATATCTATGATGCTGAGACACAGATTATAGGCATAGTAGGAGCTGTGAAAATAATAAAATGAAATCACTTGAGGATAGGGTAGGAAAACACTATAGAGGTCTCTGAAACAGGGATTTACCAGATAAAAATGAGAATATTGAGGGGAAGAATAATGACCAATGTCGATAAACAGTAGGGTAGGCTGAAGGGTATGATCCAAGAATGAATGCATAAAACCAGTCCAGGGTGAGAACAGAACTAGAACTGGTGAGGCCTTACATCTTATCTTACAAGGCACAGATGTAGAAAAGGTGCAAGTGAAAGTCATTTAAAAGTTTTAAGTACAAAAGTGATATAATTTAGCTCTGACCTATTCAATATGGAAGTGAGCTGTCACATAGGCCCACTGAGTACGTGCAGTGTGATGACCCCAAACTGCAATGTGTTCTACATGCAAAATACACACTGAATTTTTGAAGACTGAGAGCTGGAGAGAAAGAAGGCAAGATGACTCTTGAAAAAGTTTCAGTATCAATTATATGTTGAAATGATGATATTTTGGGTTGATTGGTTACGCTGTTGCCATCAAGTCAATCCCAGCTCACAGCAACCTTCTAAGACAGAGTTGAGAAATTCCATGGGGAATCCAAGACTGGAATCTTTACAAAGCAGATGGCCACATCTCTGCCTCACAGAGGGGTCAGTGTGTTAGAACCACCAACTTGCTGGTTAAGACAAATGCTTTTACCACTGTGTTGTAATGGCTTCTTTATACTGGGTTAAGGGTTACCCATGGTAGACAGTGTTTGTTTGGTGGAGCACCCAGAATGGGACAAACTTGGAAGCAGGAGTGGCCTCCACTTCCTAAACAACATACCTCTGGAAACTCAAAGAATGTAGAGAAACAATGATAGTTATAGAAAAGGGTTCAGATCTTTTGTTCATGGGGTCACTATGAGTCATGTTTGACTGGATGGCACTTAACAACAGGGATGGTCTTAAAAAGAATTTAACTGGTTTCATTTTTGTCTTTCTTTTAAAAAAATCCCACTAAAAACTTTATTTGAAATCAGACTTGTCTTAGAGAATCTGTGAACCCATCTCTCTGTTGTAATGATATCCCACTCAATTCACAAACATCTGTTAAGTGACTGCTCTGTGGGAGGCTCTGTGCCTTCTCTGGACTGACATTCTAATTCACTACCTATTAGTCCTTCTACCACTGAAGAGCCACTCAGTTTACTCAAGCACCTCATTTTAATTGGAACCTGTTTGTACTGTAAAATCTAGCCCATCCATAAGCTCTTATCTGAAATCTATTGGTGTGGCTCCAGCTATTTAGGGAAAAAAAATAAATCAAATCTCTTTCAAAGAAAAAAAAATTTATTATGGAAGCATCTTGAAGTTACCAGTTTGTGTATTTGAATTTCCAACAAGAAGGAGAAGTATCTATAAATAAGCACTGAGATTTTTCTTAATTATCGCTATCATCTCGGAGGCTAAGCTCTATGAGGAGGAATGTGCCATCAGGATTGGAGGAAGACTTATCAACAATCTGTGTTATGCAGATGAAACAACTTTGCTTGCTGAAACTGAAGAGCACCTGAAGTACTTTATGCAGAAGGTCAAGGACTGTAGTCTTAAATATGGATAGAAGCTCAACATCAAGAACACAGATAGTGAAAAGATTGAGATTGTTAATAGCTTTAGTCTGTTTGACTCCATAAAAAAAGTAGCAGGAAATTAAAAGATGAATTGCATTGGGAAAGTCGGCTGTCAGGGACCTCTCCAGAGTACTGAAGAGCAACAATGTCAGTCTGGAGACTAAGGTACGCCTGATACAGGCCATGATCTTTGCAGTTATTTGCTATGCATCAGGAAGCTGGACAATGACTAGGGATGACAGAAAAAGAATTGATGGCTTTGAGCTGTGGTGCTGGAGAAGAGTACTGAATATACTATGGACTGCTAGGAGAACAAACGGGTTTATCCTGGATAGCATGAAAGCAGGCTGCTCCTTGGAGGCAAGAATTCTGAAGCTTCATCTGGCATACTATAGGCATGCTGTACAGAGGGACCAGTCCTTGGATATTATGCTTGGCAGGTTAGAGTGACAGCGCAAGAGAGGAAGACCCTCAATGAGATGAATTGGCTCAGTGCCTGGGGTAATGGGGGTAGGTGTGTCAGGAACAATAAGGTTGGCTCAGGATAGCACAGGGTTCAGAGCTGTTGTACATAGGGTCATTAAGAGTCATAAGTAATTCAACGACACATAACAATAGCATCACCACCAACACCATTGGTTTGCAAAATCCAGGAATTCAGGCTAAATCAATGTATACACTAGTGAAATCAAAGAATCTCTACCATCTCTCTCTTGTTTAGACTTCTTTACTGGTCTCCTTGGCCTGCACACTCTGCTCCTGCTCATTTCTGGCCCATTCTCCACACTTTTGTACTTTCTAATGGGTGAGTTTTTAAAAATTAAAAACCAAATCAGGTCGCTGTTCTACTTAGGGTATCTTTCCCTGTGGCTTTTCATTGTTCCTGGAATAAATACTAAATATCCCTTTAGCCTGCAAGGCCTGTGTGAAGTGGACCTTGCCTATCCCTCCAGTTTTATTCCCATGCAGTCTGCTCCTTCTTGTGGCCTATGCTACTGCAACTCTGGCCATGAATGAAACGTACCTATATTAATCATTTTAAAAGTCCCAGGAGGTAGGCATGCTACTACTATTATTACATTTTCTACACAGAGTATTGGTACAAACAATTCCTTCTGTTTACAAGTTCCTGTCTTATCCTACACTTTGAGCTCTTAGTTCTGACTCCCAGAGGCCCTCCACCAGATATCTGAGGCTATAAATCTTAACAGGAGAACATTTCCCATCTTTCTCCTGCAGAGCACCTGGTGGATGCAAAATGCTGGAGATTTGGGGTCTTTTGGTTAAAAGTGCAACATACTACAGACTTTGCCACCAGCGTTCCTTCATCTTCCCTGTGTTGTTACTGTTAGGTGCCATCAAGTCCAGGTTGACTCACAGTGACCGCATGAGCAATAGATCTGAACCCTGTCCTATCCTATGCCTCCCTCATCATCTTGGACACACTCAAGATCTTTGATGCAGTCACTCTGTCAATCGATCCCATTGATGATCTTCCTTTCTTTCGCTGTCTCTCCACCTTTCCAAGCATGTGTCCTTTTTTGCAAGGAAGAGCCTCTCCCAGCAACATTCCCAAATATGTGAGACAACTATGTGAGACCTTCAAGGACACTCTAGTTTCACTTTCTTCAAGACATATCAATTTATGCTTTTGGCAGTTCATGGGATGTTCAGCACTTCTCCACCACCACAACTCAAAGACATCTATTCTTATGTCATCCTTACTGATTGTCCAGCTCACGCATAGCAAGTGACTAAAACGTTCATAGTCTGAATCAGACACATCTTAGTCCTCAAGTTGGCATCATTAATAAGTTCCTCAATAATCCCAAGAGGTCCCTGAATACAGACTTTCTCAGTACAATATGGCTCTTGATCTCCTGACTGCTGGTACCAAATGCACTGACTGTGCATCCATGTAAGACAAAGGTGATGACAATGTGTCCTTTCTCTGTCTATCATGTTGCTTATTGGTACAGGGGTATTTGTTTTCTTGGCACTGAGCTGTAATCCATATTGAAGGCCACATTTTTTGATCTTCTAAAGCAAGTGCGGCAAGTCCCCCTCACTTTCAGAAATCAAGGATCTATCATTTGCACATCGAAGGTTATTGATGGGTCTTCCTCCAAACTTGATGCCATATTCTTCTTCAAAGAGTACAGCTTCTTGAATAATTTGCTCAGCATACAGATTGAATAGGTATGGAGAAAAGCTATCACCCTGATGCACCCATTTCTGATTTTTTTTTAATTTAAATAAAATGTTTCTTTTATACTGTTGTTGTGCACTGTAGAATTAGAACCAACTCATAGCTGACCCTCCACCAGGTTTTCAAAGGCAGTTAACCGCATGGGAGGAGGCTGCCCATCCTTCTCCAGTGGAGCAGCTCGTGCCTTGAACCACATGCCTTCACGGTTGTAGTGCAGCTCCTTGCCACTCGGCCACCAGAGCTAGTTTACTTAAATTATTTAGTGTTACTTTGCTCCATACACACAACAGCCTCTTGGTCTAGGTTTTGGGATTCTCATTCTTCTCAATGTTACTTGTTAGTCATAATTTGTTATGATCCACACAGTGAAATGTCTTTGCACAGTCAAGAAATAGATATTCTTCTGGCATTCTTTGCTATCAGCCAGGATACTTGTAACAGGAGCAATCACATGCAATGACATGTGTAGAGTCATGGCTTCTTGCTATGTCCAACTTAAACTTCTCTCTATGTACAGTTCCAGAAATTTCTGAAAGTTCTTCAGCGGTATTTTGCTTACATGTTATATTAAGAATATTGTTTGATTTCCTCACTCTGTTGGATCAACTTTCTTAAGAATGGGAACAGATATGGACCTCTTCCAGTCATTGGCCAAGCAACTGTCCTCCAAATCTGAGCACATCTATGGCTGTCATCTGTCTTTGAAACATATTGTTTGGTGTTCCACTGATTCCTGGGACCTTATTTTTTGCCAATATGTAAAAAACAATGTATAGTGCAGCTTGACCTTGGGCTAACTATAAAGTTGTCAGTTCAAACCCACCAGCTACTCTGATAGAGAAAGATGCAGGAGGCTATTCTCAAAGATTTCTAGTCTCAGAAACCCTATGGGGCTGTCCTACTCTGTCCTGAACAGTCACTGTACGTTTAGGTGGGCTCTATGGCAGTGGATGAAGTTTAGGGTTAGGACTATTTTCATTTCCATTGTGTTCCAGACCTAGCCCAGGCTCACAGAGTTGCTCACTTTTCCTTAAATGCTGAAAATCAAGGAAGATTTTAAATGGAAAAAAACCCACCATGCCTTACTCCAAAAAGCCTTAAGAAAGATCACTGTTAGTTAGCCCATCTCTTACCTGCCAGCCATGGCCTTGTAGTAAGCAAAGATCTGGTCCGCCAGCTTATAGACAAACTGATCAAAACACAGGTTCACCTGGTGAAGAAGAGGCAGCAAACATCAGTGGGGTCCTCTAGCACTGTCACAGAGACTTAGACGACCGGAAGAGGGTTGTCCAAAGTATGCTCTAGAACAACAGATACTTGTAGAGAAAAATGAAACAAAAAGATTCTGTATCAAGAATGTCTGGGTGAAGTACCAGCCTTGCTGGATAAGGCATGCTTGTTAGTACACAAGGGTACCTCAGTTTATTGCACTGCATCTCATTGTGCCTTGCAGAAACTGTGTTCCTTATAAACTGAACACCTGTGGCAATCCTGGGGAGAGAAGTCATCTATCTGTACCATTTTTCCAATAATGGGTGCTCATTTGTGTGTCTGTCATGTTTTAGTAATTTTCACAGCACTTCACAGTAGTTAGGAAATCAAAAGATGAATTTCATTAAGAAAATCTGCTATTAAAGGCCTCTGTAGAGTTCTGAAGAGCAATGTTGTCAGCCTAGAGACTAAGGTGTACGTGATCCAGGCCATGGTCGTAGCCATTATTTACTATGTATCACAGAGCTGGACAATGACCAAGAATTGATGCCTTTGAATTGAGGTGTTGGAGAAAACTACTGAACATACACCATGGACTGCCAAGAGAACAAACAGGTATGTCCTAGAAACGGTGAAACTGAGCTGCTCCTTGGAGGCAAGGATTTTGAGGCTCTGTCTTTGGGCATGCAGCCAGGAGGGACCAGTATGTGAGGAGGGAAATTATGCTTGGAAGGATGGAAGGCAAGGAAAGTGCAGGAGAAAACAACTCTAGATCAAATGGATCAACACAGTAACTGGGGTATTGAGGAAAAGTAAGAAATTGGCTCAGGATAGAGCAGAGTTCAGAGCTATTGTGCATAGGGTGACTATGAGTCATAGTTGACTCAATGGCACACAACAGCAACATCACACACTTAATAAATTACAATACAGTGTAAGAACAACTTTTATACACATAGAGACACCAAAAAAGGCATATGGTTTACTTTATTGTGATGCATGCCGTATTTTGGTGGTCTAGAATGGAACACACAATATTTAGGGAATGCTTACAAGGACTCTGAGATGTCTTGTAGTAAAGAAGTCAATTTTCTCCACTGACTTGTTTTCTAGAGATTATTTCTTAACATCTCTTTCACAGACATTTTGGAGAAAGTTCCTTAGAGTGTTTTCATTTCCATGTGAAGTCTGGCCCTTTGCTCTCGAGAACTTCATGTAGACAGCAGAGAGCACACTTCCAAAGGGCAGGGAGTCACTATACTTCTCACTGATACTCACTGCCGGTAGAACTGAGCAGAGAACTCTTACAGAGAAAGACTCACCAACAGAACCCAACACTGCTGTCAAACTCTCATGAGATATTTTATCTTCTCCTTGCATTTAATTTTACCTTAGTTTGAAACTTTAGTTACGAAAAAGTTGATGGTCAAAAAAAAAAGAGTCTTTCTTAAGCTTTGCTTAAAATCTTTGGTCTTGAATGAACCAAGAGCCATTTTGAGATTTTCAGTGTTTCATCACACCAGTGGCTGAGTGCAAAGCTTATATGTTTGTATGAGAGACAGAGCATTGATACTACAGCTTTCAATAATGGCAAGAACAAGAGATGATCAGGGATAAGACTTGAAAATTTGGGTGTGAGCTTTAAGGGTCCCCAGTAGGTTATCATCCAGGCCAAGAATCTTCAGGGCTAAGGTTGGTGATGCTGACTCCAAGCCCTCCTTCTAGAACCGGATCTGAGCATCCTTGTACATTTGGCCTAAACCTCTTTGAGGATCCCAAGAAGTAAGACTTACTCACGTGATTGGCTTTGACCAATGAATGTGGAATTAACTCACTCATTTCCAGGTAGAAGATACAAGTAATTAAGTGAGTTATGTTAATCTTTCTCCATGTCATGGCAACTATTAATGCTTCTGGTGAATCCCAAATTGAAATGAATACGAAGCGGAGTCCCTGACTAACAGAAAATGGACTAATAAGCATTTGCTATTAAGCCACTAAGAATATGAGTTGTTTATTGCTGTCCCTGACTAACAGAAAATGGAGAAATAAGTATTTGTTATTAAACCGCTAAGAATATGAGTTGTTTATTGCTGAAGCACAACCTACCTTATCCTGACAATTACAGCATAAAACCTTTTAAAAGTATAGTGACTGAGAGAATGACTGCTGTACTTCTACCTGCACTAGACTGAGAAATCTGTAATGTGTGTGACCTCAGGGTAAAGATGCTTGACCACATTAAACCTCAGACCTATTTTCTGTAAAACAGAATAGTCGCATATATACTTCCTTAAGTTGTTACAAAGATCATTTTAAATGTATTATCTATATGGTGCTTAGCACCTACTGCCTTCAGTTCGATTTTATCTTGTAGCAACCCCACAGGACAGAGAAGGGCCCCAAAGGGTTTCTAAGGTTGCCATGTTTGTGGAGCAAAGACTGCCACCTCTTTCTCCCACAAAGTGGTTGGTAGCTTTAAGTTGTCAACTTTTCAGTTCACAACTGAACGCTTAAGCACTCTACCACCAGGGCTTTTGGTGCTCAGCTCTGTGCTTGGCAAATGGTAATATAATTGGTAGCTGCTGTAGACCTAGGGTAAAGTATATTATAACGAGACAGAACACCAAGAATGTATAACAGGGGTAAAGCAGGATGCAAACAGTTCTCGAACAATTGTAGCACCATCACAGCTTCCCTGTGTCTTTATTGAAAACTGTCAAAAACCAACTGACCATAGTTGTACATAAATGAAGGAGTTTTTCTTTTACTTTTCAAAGAGAAGAGTGAACTGGGGGGTAGGGGTGGACAGGGAGAAAAGTACAACAATGAATGAATGGAAATCCAAAATATCTGTAATGTTCATTAAAATTAATAAAATAACATTAATAAAAATTTGCCAGGGAGCAAATCAGAAAGAGAATTCTATGCAAATGAAGCCAAGCTCTTTCTACTGAAAACCTTACGCTTGACTCAGGAGGGAGGGGTTAGCAAATACAAGAATCATGTAAAGGCTAAGGTTTGCCTTAGTGCCGACCCCTGTAAACATTTAAGGTTTGCCTTAGTGCTTCAGGGTGAATCTCAGCTTGCAGCCGTGCCTCCCTCGTATCCTGATATAGCATTTGGTTTATTATAAATATTTAATATGAAATTTGGTTTCCCAGAGGTAGCATTATTGTTATCTAAGTAATCCAACTATAGAAGGTGGACATTAGTTACCTGTGCAGTGGTATTATTTGTCATTCCTTAAAAAAAAATTGGAAAAGAAAGACCATCATCCTGTTCTAGATTATTTATGATCATCACTGTCATTTGTAAACATCACTCTCCAGAATAAATCATTGCTCTCACTCCAGTCTAGCAACTGGAGATGGGAGAAGTCCAAAGTAAGTGTCTGAACAAGGTTACAGAACAAAAGGAGAAACTGGTCACTTGCCTCGGCTTCAATCTCATCATATAGGAACTGCTTTTTAAACTTGGTCAGAGCATAGTAGGCGCTGTCATTGTACAGATCCAGGGGGTAGAGGACATACCTGAGGAGAGAAAACAGTGGCCGGCATCACAGACGTACTCTGCTAAGGACAGGGAGCATTTATACAAACCTGGGGAACAAAGTGCTGGGGTGAATGAGATGAAGTCTCAAGTATGGAAAAGACAACCTTTTAGCCCTTGATGGCATTCCCAGCACCTCCACTTAGCAATTTCAGTTTGCCTACAGAAACCAAAAGTCCATAATGCTAATAACCCAAGGCTGGAGAGAAAGTGTCACTGTCATTATTTGCTGTTGACTGGCGCTAGGCCAACACCAGGGTGACTGGTGGTGATACCATGCAATGGATCAAAACACTGTCTTGTCACACAGCCACACACTATCATCATGGCTAGGTGTGAATCGTAGGGTTTTCACTGGCTGGTTTTCAGGAGCATACTGACACACATAGTACACACAGAAGCTACACTGACACAGGTTCTCCACCACAGCAACAAGCATCTACTGTTAGATGGGAGGCAGCTGGACAGGAGGCGCACTGGCCATAATCAAACTCAAGTCTCCTGAGTGGAATGTAGGAACGCTACACTGAATCACTGTCTGTCAAAGGAAATTTCTGTTGTTATAGGCCCTCAAGTCTGAACTGACTCCTATCTGACTCTCCAGTGTGCTTTCAGGGGCTGAAAATCCGACCGGAGAAGATTTCCCATCTTTCTCTTACAGAGCAGCTAGTGGATTCAAACCACTTGCCTTCAGTTTGATAGCACAACTCCTTACCCACTAGGCTACCAGAGTCTGGAGCTAAAAGAAGTCAGTAGTGAGAATATTAGGTTCCTGGTTCCCAGAGATGATTCTTTTACCGGGCATGACTGCTATGAGCCTGTCAAAGTGCAGGAAAGAATGCTTAGCTTGTAACCTTTGACTATCTACAAGAATGAATCAAATGTGCATGACCAGATCCTTGGTCTCAGCTCTCTTCCTGGGGGGACACATGGCCTCTTCAGCAATCCCTTCCTTCAGGGAAAAGCAAAAAAACTGGGCAACTGCTCTCCACCTTCAGCCCGGGAAGCTCCCTGCTGGCCCAGGCTTGCCCTTACTCCATCATTGAAGGCTCTTTGGTTTCCAGGATGTGGTCTGTAAGAATCCAGGGCATAGACATCTCAATAGGGAACTGGATTCGCCGGCCCATGGTTAACTCCAGGAAGAATTCTCGGAACCAGAGCTGGGACAGGTCACAGCACTGCTGCAGGGCTTCTGAAAGCATAAGGGAAAGAGCTGTGGCTCACACACACAGGAAGCACCTCAAAGACCTCTGTTCTTACTGTTATCAGTGCACTGGCTACATGGCAGGTACTTAATGAATATAGCTTTTTTTAAAAAATATACTTCTAATTTTTCTCCCATTCATACTGAATTTCATATAATTTTAATGGCTATAGCTTGAGTAGTACATCTTGTCTCCTGGACTTGAAGCTTAGTGTCTATTTGAAAAAGATAGCATATTTAGCTTCAGTGGCAGTGGTGGGGAGGTACTGTAGAGTTTGAGATGTTCTCATAATTTCCAATCCCCCCACCCGCAAGCCATCCTTTCTAAGTGTGAACATATTCAACACTGTTCAAGACAGGTCTCCAGGTGCAAAGGTGCAAATATTCAGCTGGCTGCAACTCCCTGACCCCACACCTGGGGTGATTCAGAATTCATTACTCTTCAGAGCAGCTTCCTGCGCTCCTCTGCAATCGAAGTGTTTAACTGTTATGGTCACTCTCATTTTCACCACCAACACACATATGACTTCCATGTCCCCGGGATACCACCCCGTCTCCATAAGGCCTGTTCAACCTGGACTTGCTCCTATAGAGAGGAAGAGTGGATGAACACAGGGTAGACAGCCAGTCCAGGAGCCTCCTCTCCTAGGAGCAGCCAGCATTGATTAGCTCATAGGTGCTTCATGGCAATAAAGGCCACAGTCTCGTGCATGGGTGTGCACATTTGCGTGTTCCTGGTTTTGATCCCCTGATTAGGCCAACCCAGCCACATGTAATTTGTTAGGGTTTTGTTAGTTACTGTGGCATCAACCATGACTCACAGGGACCCTAAGAACACAGATCCAAACAGTGCCCTATTGTGCAGCATCCTCTCAATCTCTGCCATGCACAAGGCCACTGAATCAATCCACCTCACAGAGGGTTTTCCTTCTCCTCCCCTCACTGAGAGTTATCTACCAGCTGAATTTAGCTAAGTTAGTGAGAAACTGGAGCTGGACCTGGGGCGGGGGTGTGCTCCTAGCTCCCCAAGTCCACTGGCGGGTGTGTGTGTTCCTGAGTGGAACGCGGTGCCACTCAGATCAATGGACGCAGCTCCCCTCGGCCCTCCTCCCCCGGCTGGCGCTGGGTCTCACCACTGATGTTGAGCAGGTGCGTGAAGAAGAAAGACTGCTTGTGGAAGTCCTCAATGGCGAGGACGATGGGCCCATCCAGGCTGCTCCTCAGGGTCTTCTTGGAGCCGCTTTTGTCTGCGATGAGTGACTCCAGCATCGTCCGCACCATGTACAGCTTGAAAAGAAAGGAAAACGAGGAGGCAAGTCAAGCCCTCTGTCACGGGGAGCAGGCTGCTTTCAGCTGGTTGGTTTTGGTGTTTTTTTTTTTCCCTTTTCCTCTCTCTTCACCTCCCCCCAGCAGATGTCTGTTCTTAAAAATCATTGTGTTAGGAAAGTTAGGGAGGGAGAAGGGAATTTTGAACCAAAAAAACCAAGAGGAAGCCTGATCAGTCCAGGAGAGTCAGCCACTGTGACGTCCCTGGTGGGTGAACCTGGTGACAACAGGCAGGCTCAGGCCCCAAGGACAGGCTCCTGGCTGCTCTGCTAGGTCAAGGGCACGGACGTCAGAAGACAACTCAGTACTCTGCTTTCCTGGCTGGCTAGGTTGGTTCCCAGGGCAGAGCACTGGGTTGGGAATCAAAGAACTGGGGTTCAAGCAAGACAAGGAGCTCCCACTAATTTGCTGTGTGACCTTGGGCAACAAAGTTCCCACTCTGGGCTTCAGTTTTCTAATCTGTTACCATAAGGGAATGAGACCAGATGCGTTCTCAAAGCCAGTCCCTTTCACCTTTCACCTTCGGAGGATCTGTGAAATGGGATATGATCAGAACAAGCTCCCCCCACCTCCTCAAGTTTCTGACCCTCAGAGTTTTTAATCCATTACTGAGTGATGGCGCCCCCTGGTGGATCCAGCTGCACTGAGCAGCCCGCCAAAATCCTGGGTGGAAAGTGGATTAATATTGGTACTTACACGGGAAGCCTAATAGAAAATTAACACCTGCTTACAGGGTACCTTAAACGCAAAGGACACAAGTGCGATAGGGTTGTTCTCTTTGCTAATCTAGACTTTTCCTTCCCGCCAGTGCCTCCACATCATTTGTCTTTGAATCTTAGGGCCGGAAGGGGCCTTGAGGAGCCAGGCTAGTCCATTCCTGCTGCCTCCTGGAGAAGTGTACCCAAACCAACCCAGCCAGGCGGTGGTATACCAGGGATCGGCAGCCTCTTCGGCCCTGTGTGCCACCAGTGGGGTGAAACAAAGCCCGCGGGGACCACTGGCAGGCCTAAGACACAGATAGGAGAGAAGGAAGAGGGATGGGAGGGAGGGAGAGACAGGGAAGAGGGAGAGAGAGAAAGAGAGAGAGAGAAAAGCGAGAGGTGTTGTATACGGTGGGAAAGCCACTGCGACTGATGGGGGCCACTTGCCAACCACCACTGATCTGCTCCAACCTCCCTCTGCCACCATGTCCAGCTCTGCTGCTCCATGCTTTCTTTAGAACTTTCCCCACCACATGCCAGGCACTGGGCTGGGCAGCGGGGCCACAGAAAGAGGACACACCATCTCCACAAAGGACAGAATTTACGACAAACGGACCACTGAGGTTGCTAGTTTGTGAGACAGCTCCTGCTGGTGAGCATGTCTGATGCTCCGAGAACCAAGAAGCACTGCTCTCTTGCAGGCCTTTGGAGGCCTCACAGGAAAGCTTAGTCAAACGCCATCCATCAAGGTGTAGACTCACTGACGTCACATGCTAATCATCTACAAACATGGATATTGGCCATGGGAGGGCGAGCTCTTTACACAGACTTTCACTTGACAGACATTTAACTCACCAGAATGGCCTCTACCCCAGCTATGCTAGGTGCCCGTGTCTACTGTGCTTCGGTGGCCGTCAGAGCCCCGTGGTGGGAGTCAGGAGACCTGGGTTCTCGTCCCACCTCCACTTGTGACTCACCTTGTGACTTGGACAAGTCACTGCCCCTCTCTGGACCTCAGTTTCCCCATCTGTAAAATAGGGGGAGGGGATTGGGACTAGTTTGGGTCCATGGGTTCTTCTAGGTCTGTCTGTCTAGGAATCTAGTACCTCCATCTGAGCCACACGATATGACTTGGCATCGTCTCAGAGGTAACACTCCTGTGTTGTCTACATAAGGTATTCCTTCCACACCTAGCTTCTTTTCTCTCTTCCTTGCTCTTATTCTCTCTTCCTAGATTCCTTCCCCTTAGCTTCCTCTTTCCAGTTCATCTTTTAGGGTTTTTTCTGTTCCTTTCTCAGTCATGTCCTCGGACTTACAGCAGCAGCCCCCTGTGGCAGCCCTGGTCAGCGCTCCAGCTGTCTGAGCTGGTGAGGTTCCGCCCTCGACCTGACCCTGAACTGTCGGTACAGAGGCTTCCAGGGCATGGTCCACAGCAACAGGAGGTGATGAGGACACTGCTGAGAACCCACCGGGCTCAGGTCCTGCCACCCTCCCGTCCAGACATACAGACACACACACACGGTGAGAGGGCCGGGGGTGGGCTCCGATGAAAAGGCGAAAGATCTACGGCCTCAAGCGTTCAGAGCTGAGCGAGGCACGGAAGTCACACAAAAGCAAGAGTGTTGCCAGCCTGGAGCGTCTGTGGCCTGTGAGACCCCTGAAAGTGGAGATGGAGTCTACACACTTTTTAAATACTTCAAATCACCTAGCGGAACCGGATGCCATCAAGTCAACTGATGCATGAGTGTCATAGCTGAATTGGGCTCCACAGTATCTTCAATGCCTCATTTTCAGCAGATTGCCAGGCCTTTCTTTCAAGGCACCTCTAGGTGGACTCAAAGCTCCAATCTGTCAGACACCCACTTAAGCACGTTAACTGTTGACCTAGAGAATCTTTAAAAAAAAATCACACTAGAAATTACCATCAACAAGAATTTCATTCTGATCAAGACTCCCTACTTTTCTCATTTTATGACTCCTTTGGATAAATAGCAGGCAACATCTAGCTCAGGAGCTATGGATGGGAATTCTGCATATTCCTGACGGCAGGCTTTCTCAAAGGGTCGAGGGCTCTCAAAACGTGTGTTCCTTAGGGGACATGGGTCTTCTGTCAGTAACATGACCTCATCTAAAGTTTTCATTTTTACAGAGAAGATCATCAGACGTCAGAGAGGTAAAGGAGCTTGTCCAAGCTCACACAGCAAGTTAGAGGCTGAACTTGAGAATTCCATCAGTGCATGTGAGGGGGCCCAGGTTCGTTAGAGTGGAACAGGACAGATGCATACAGACCCCTCTTTAAAGTCATCTTGCACTCTGGAACTTCTGTGTGCTTCCCAGGACTAGGAGATAACCACCCCTGGTATCACCCCCCTTTGCCAGATTAGATAACCGAGGCACAGAGAGACTGTGCAATGTGCCCGAGGTCACACAGGTATCTAGGACTAGAATCCAGGTCTCCTGAATCTTAAGCCAGTGGTCCTCCCTCCTATATCAAAACAAGATGGAAGAGTAAGGCTATAGCAGCTGCTTGACTCGCCCCTTCTGCCCAAAAACTCCCAGCCCCACTGTCCTGAGGTCAGTCAGGCTGACACAAGGTTTCCACAAAGCCAGCTGGTGCCCGGAACCCCTTACCTGTGTGCTGGAGGGCCCCACAGCACGCCGGGGCACCTTGATGTCAAAGCCACCTTTGGGGTCTTTCTCCCCTCTTAAACACGGATCATTGGGGGGCTCTCGGCCCCCCTCCCAGTCACAGATGGTCTTTCGAATTGCTTGCAGGACACTGTGAAGGAAGAGCTGACATTTAGACCAGTCCTACCACTGAGAGGAGGCCCTGTAAGTCTACTGCTGAGCTGGGGTGTACTGGCCACATCTGCATTAGCATTACTGGGGCACCAGCATGTCCCAGGGCTCCCCCTGCTCGAGTCACTGGTTTGATAGATAAGAGGTACATTTCCAAAATCTGCATTTTAACCAAAGTCTCATTTTAACCAGGTGGTTTGGATGCCCACTAGAGGTCTGAATACTTAGCTCCGTGCCCTGCATCAGAGAGAATGTAAATACAACAGAATGGCTGTTCTCCTCTTCAGCTAGAAGGACGTCTCATTAATCAGGTTAAGTCTCTATACATCTCCATATATACTAATGTTCTTCTTGTTGTTGATTATTGTCGAGTCAAGCAAGACTCATAGTGACCCTATGAACAAAAGACCTGAAGCCTTTCTATAACTATCGTCATTTCTCAAAGCTCATAGAGTTTCCAGAGGCATGCTGTTTAGGAAGTAGACAACACTTCTGTCCACTGAACTTTTACTCCATGTTGCTGAGCACCAACCTCTACACATGAATAATCTAACTTCATCCTCCCACCTGCCTATGAAACACGTTTTATCATCATTTCCATTTTGCAAATGCAGAAAACTGAGGCATGGAGCAGGAAAGTGACTTGACCAAGTTTACTCAGCAGGACAGTGGTGGGTATGGGGCTTGAAACATGGAGACTGAAGCTTAATTAATTCCAGAGGTCCAATCACACCTAAGAGTGACTCCTAAACTTGCTGACTCAAAGAACTTGCCAGAAGGGTCTGTCTAAGCTCAGAGAGTGCCCCGGAAGCAGACTCAAACAGGAATGACCTCTCTAGCCTGTACCCAGCACTGTTGACTCTGGATGCACCCCTGGAATGGATGTCCCAAAGGCCCACCTGATGAGGACGTTCTTCTTCTTCCTCACTGCCTGCCTCAGGGGCTCACGCAGGGTCACCTGGGCGAAGTCCTGCAGGGCCGCGTAGATGGTGTTCCTGATGGCCTGGTTGAAGACACTCTCCATCCTGCCCATGAGCACCTGCAGACCTTTGATCATGGCAATCACCTGCCAGGTACAGATTAAGGTCAAGTCCAGGAAGCCACGGCAGTCCAACCTGCCCCATCCCCTCCGCCACATCATGGGGATACGGTGTGAGTGCTCCATATGCTCTGGGCTAGGGCTACACGAGGGAGCACAGCACCAATCCAAAGGCTGGTGACACCTATGGATCAAAGGAGGAGGATGGGCAATCTCCCCTTGTTATGATTTACAGCCTTGGAAATCCAATGGCAGGTTGCCATGAGTCAGAACCAACTCCATGGCAGTGAGTTTGAGGGGTTTTGTGTGCTGCTCAAAATGCTGGTTCATGACTAGGTGCATTCCAGAATGTAGGTCAATGCTGTTTCCTCCACGAAGGGAGACCTGTTACAAAATAAGGACGCCAGTGGAAATGAAGAGTGTTGTGTGATGGTAGCGATGTTCGTTCTGTCATGGATGCTAGTCCCTGAGGACTGCTGCCAAGTGGAAACTAACCCACAGACATGATCTTTGTAGTACCGTGACATTTAGAGGCACATGCCATGCTTTTTATAGACAATACCGGTTATGGGTTTTTCTCACCGTTAATTTTCCTAAAGAGTATTAATTTCCTTTTAAAATAATTTGGCCAGTTATTGCTTGTATCCATCAAATCCAAACATCTTCCCCTGTAGGGGTCATGGGAAGAAAAGATTCTCTGTATGTGCCTCCTTCACTTAAGTTTGGAAGGGAGAGAAGTGCTTATGCTGACTGTAGTTATCCAGACCCGTCTGCTACAGGTTGCACACTTTTTCTTCTGGGCTCCGGTTGTCTCCCTACACTCAGACTTCCCTCTGCAACACTCCTGAGGTATGCATTGACCCAGCTACTTTGCCCATTACTTACTGGGTGTCTTTAGTGCGATGGGTGAGGGACAGGTAGTCTATTGTGGCCTTGGGGTGATCCACCTTTACCTACAATAAACCTAAACTTTTAATCCTCATAGTCCTCCCCATGGTCACCACACTCATGACATACAACCAAGTTTGAACGATGTTCAAACTTACACCCTCCATACCAGACCGTGAGCAGAGCAAGGCCGAAGGATGCTGAGTGTGCCCAGTCCCCAGTACTTGTGCACAGCAGGCAGCCAAAGGATTCTTTTTGAAAAGGGGTCAATAAATGGATGCGTGAACGTAAGAGCGAAACCCTTTTCTTTCACTAAGCCTTACAACAAGAAAGAAAACTTTCAAAGCAGCAAAAATGGAAAAGAACAGTACTAGGAAGTGTGGAATATCAATAAAACCTTCCTCCCTCACTGCTGAAGAATCATACCAACTTGCAGCTGATCCAGGGAGTCATTCAAACTGCCAGAGACACAGCATTTGGGTTAGCAGCACAATGCGTTATAGATTAACTAAGTCTAGTAAGTTTAATAGTCTTGTTAGAAAGAAAATTCAGTGCACTGAAATAATAAGGGAGAGGTGAGGGGCTGGGGGTGGTGGTAGGTGGAGAAAGTGTAAAGGAATGTTAGGTCATAAAACAATCTGAATGGACAAATTCCTTGAAACTCATGACCTACCCAGATTGACAAGGACAAATACAGAACAGGTGAACAGACCTATCACAAAAGAAGAAATTAAAGGGAGCTCTGATGGTCTAGTGGCAAGACGCTGCACTGCAATCCCAGAAGTACGCGGTTCAAATCCACCAGATACTCTGCTGGAGAAGGAGGGGGCAATCTCCTCCTGTACCAGTCAGATCTGATTTGATGGTACACGTAAAAATAATACAATTAAAAAAAAGAAGACATTAAAAAGGTCCTACGAGAAAAATAATGCCCTAAAATATAATACTTTTAGGCTATTCTCTCCCCCATAGACATCAATGCCGTATGTGGACGTTTTTCTTTTGCTTTTCAAGGAGAGGAGCAAACGGGGCGGGAGGAGGGGGGAGGGGTTTGTGCGGGGAGAAGGGTGCAACAATGAATGAATGGAATCCCAAAAACTCTGTAGATGTTCATTGAAATGAAAAATAAACAACCTAAATTTAAAAAAAAAAACAAACAAACAAACAACATAATCTGAAAAAAAAAAAAGGTCCTAAAAAGACTTCCCCATAGGAAAAGTCCTCTGCCAGATGGCTTCACCGCTGAATTCTACCAAACATTCAGAGAGGATTTATGACCAATTCTACTTAAATTATTTTTAAAAAATGAAAAAACAAGAAATACTTCCAGAGTCATTCTATGAAGCAAGCATAACCTTAATACTAAAACCAGGCAAAGATATTACCAAGAAAGAAAACTACAGATCAATATCTCTCATGAATATCAATGTGAAAATCCTTAACAAAATCTTAGGCATAGAATCCCAAAGAGCAAATCAAAACAATAATTTACCATGACCAACTGGGAGTCAAAACAAAGTAAGTAACAAGAACTGTATGATCTTAGCAATTGATTCAGAAAAGGCATTTGGCAATATCCAATACCCTTTCCTGAGTAAGACACTCAGTAAAATTGGAATAGAAGGGAATTTCTCCAACATAGTGAAAAGTATATATGCAAAACCAAGAAACAACACCATTCTCAATAAGACTAAAAGCATTTTCCTTGCATACAGGAACCAAACAAGGAAGCCCACTATTACTACTTCTATTCAGTATTTTCTTTGGGAATGCTTGCTAGGGCAATATTACAAGAGAAGGAAATAAAAGGCATCCAGATTAGAAGAGAGAAGATTAAACTATTGCTATATGCAGATGATATGATAGTATACACAGAAAATTCCAAGGACTCAACAAAAAACTGTTAGAGTTAGTAGAGCGGCAGGATATAAGATCAATATCCAAAAATCAGTGGGATTCCTCTACTGTAACAAAAAGAACTCAGAGGAGGAAATCAAGAAAGCACTAACATTTAAAATAGCCAAACACAAATTGAGATACTTGCGAGTGAACCTAATTAGAGATATAAAAGACTTATACAAAGAAAACCACAAAACATTTCTGCAGGACACAATTAAAGACCTAAAGAAATGGAAAAAAATATGCCCTGTTTATGGATCGGAAGACTCAGTATTACAAAAATTACAGTTGTACCAAAAGCAATCTACACGATCAACACCAATTCCAATTCAGATACCAAATTCATTTTTCAAGGAGATTGAAAGGGAAATTGTCTAGTTTATTTGGAGAGGCAAGAGACCCTGAATAAGCAAAATATTTCTAAGAAACAAAACTAAAGTGGGATTCATTGTACTTCCTGACCTCAAAACCTTCTACACCGTGGTAGTAACAAAAATAGCATGGTATTGGTATAATGGCAGGCACACAGACCAATGGAACAGAATTGAGAACCCAAAAATAGACCCAACTATCTATGGTCAACTGCTATTTGACAATCAAACCTCTCAAATGGGGAGATGACAAACTCTTCAACAAATGGTGCTGGCAAAACTGGACTGCTACCTGCAGAAAGCTGAAACAGAACCTGTATTTCACACCATACACAAAAATCAACTCAAGATGCATCAGAGACCGGGGAGTAAAGCCCAAAACCATAAAGTTTATAAGAGACAAATTGGGATCAAGCTTAGAAGGTCGAGCATATGGTATAAAGAGACAGCCAAATACAGCCAGAAATATACACTTTGAAGAGGATAAAATTGACGAATGGGATCTTCTAAAGATTAAATCTCTATGTTCATCAAAAACTTTTTTTAACAGGGTGAAAAGGAAACCTACTGATCGGGAACAAACATTTGGTAATACCAGCTCAGAAAAGAGTCTCATAACAAAAGTTTACAGACTACTCCCGGGCCTCCACAAGAAAATGACTGATAACACAATTACAAAGTGGACAAAAGACATGAAAATAATTTTCACAGAGGAATATTCGAATGTCCAACAGACATATGAAGACATGCTCAAAATCACTGGCAATAAGTGAGATGCAAATCAAAACCACAATAAGATACCCTCTTAATTCCAGCAGTGACAAAGCTAACAGGACAGGAAGTAATAAATCTTGGAGAGGATATGGAGAGATTGGAACTCTTATACATTTTTGGTGTGACCCTGGAAGGCAGTCTAGTGCTTTCTCAAAAAAGTTGAACATAGAAATCCCATATGATCCAGCTATTCCATTGCTTGGAATATACCCCAAGAAAATGAGAACTGATGCACAAATAGAGACCTGTACATCAATGTTTATAGAAGCATTATTCACTATCATAAGAAGATGGAAAGAACCCAAATGTCCAACCACAATGGAATGGACTGAGAAATTATGATACATTCACACAATGCAATACTATGTAGCATGCAGGAGCAATGATTTTGCAAGTTGTTACCTAATTTGGGAGGGACTGAAGAGCATTATGCTGAATGAATTAACTCAGTCCCATAAGGACAAATACTGCCATTATTGTAGTATGAACATGAGGATCCAATGGGGCCAAGGGTGGAATCAGAGGGGTGAGGATGTGTGAGTGGGAAGGATTAATCATGGGGTCCCACAATTTGATGGGTGGGGCATGTGAGGGATCTTGTATGAAAAACAATGTATTTTGTAAATAAACTAGTATAAAAAGAATGTAAAATAGACTCTACATGAATGATTCTATGAAATACAATATAAAATAAGAGACAGTATAAAACCTAATGTATATGGACTGAGGCTCAATGTCAAGAAGACAAAGATTCTCACCACTGGACCAACTGGCAGCATCAGGATGGATGGTGAAGAGATTGAGATTGTACGCAGCTTTAGTTTGCTTGGATCCACAGTCAACAGTCTTGGCACCAGCAGCCAGGAAATTAAAAGGCGCATTGCCATGGGAAAGTCTGCTGTTAGGGACCTCTCCAAAGTACTGAAGAGCAATGGTGTCTCTCTGGAAACTAAGGTGCATCTGATACAGGCCATAGTCTTCGCAATCACTTGTTATGCATCAGAGAGTTGGACAATGACCAAGGAGGATAGAAGGAGAATTGATGCCTTTGAGCTGTGGTGCTGGAGAAGAGTATTGAGAATACCATGGACTGCTAGGAAAACAAACAGATTTGTCCTGGAGAGGGTTAAACCGGGTGGCTCCTTGGAGGCAAGGATTCTGAGGCTCCATCTAACATACTTTGGACATGTTGTGAGGAGAGACAGGTCCTTGGAGAAGGACATCATGCTTGGGAGGGTGGAGGGACAGCGCAGGAGAGGAAGGCCCTCTATGAGGTGGATTGATTCAGTGACTGGGATAATTGGGATGGGAGTGTCAGAGACAGTGCGATTGGCACAGGACAGAGTGGAATTTAGGGCTGTTGTACATAGGGTCGCTATGAGTCGCAAGCAACTCGATGGCACATAACAACAATATATGAATGAAACATACTGTAAAAGCATTATTATATGATAATCAATAAAAAAAGAAAAGAATCTGAACTCCTGGCTGGAGATGAAACTAGGATATATTGGGGCAAACGAAGAAATTAGCAAGATGTATTTGCAACCATGGGCTTGTGATGGTGAGAACAGAGAAAGACTGGGCAAGATTGAACCGTTGTATACAGGGGTGATAGGGTGGCATTAGTAAATTCAGATTATTCAAACATATGGTATAGTTGTAAAACTTAACATGATGAGTTTCTAGCCTGGAAACTTGATCAAGCATTTGTTTGGTCCTCAGACCCTGCTCTAACTTCTCCATTGTCATGTAGAGTACCTTAAGCTGTCTGTTTACCAGGAGGGGAAATACATCTCTCATTGAATTAGGATTTGTCTTTTCTCAGTCATAAGAAACTGTACCCCAAAGTGTGTGTTAACTAGAAACTGTATGTAAGAATCTTTATATATACTTTATGAACTGTACTTTAAATTTTCTGTTTACCTGGAGGAAAAATGCCTCTTTCCTGAATTAGCATTTACTTTCTGAAACGGTTTTTCTCAGTCACATATAAACTGTATCATAAATTGCCTGTTTACTAGTAACACTGTGTAGGACTGTTCTTTTGAATGTAAAAATCCTGTAGCTTTGAACTAGCTGATAGTAATATCTCAAGAAGATTAATACGTAACTCAAATACAAAAAAACATTAACAATTCTTAGAAGAGGAGGCAGGTTTTTGAGAGGATTGTCTCAGCTCTCCCAGCTCTGCAATAAAGCTGAAATTCATCTGTCTTATTGGTGAGTGACTACAGAAAAAAAAACCTTGCATTCACTCTAAGTTGGAATTAACTTGATGAATCTAACAGTAACAACATTTCTATTAGACCACTGCTTCTGTGACAAACAATTGTGGTTTCAGTTAAGTACTCTCAAGTCAGCACCAATCCACAGCCGACTCCACAGGTTTTCAGAGGCAATAAACAGCACAGGAGGAGATCGCCCATTTTCTTCTATAAACATTATATAAGAAAACTATTGACTTAACCAAAATGCATAAAATTACTACATTGGGAAGACAGGGGGAAAGAATGAAATGAATTTTGGTGTGGGAGAGGGAGATAAGAAAGTTAAATTCTATCTCCAAAACTGAAAGCAATAGAAAATGTCCTAAGTTAAAAAACAAAAAATGTCTTAAAATCATGACATTTACAGTGTATCATAATCATGATAAATGTGAATATAAACTTTTCTCCAGGTTTGTATGAAAAATAAATACAAGAGGTAAGGGGTCACTCTGGACAGTATCAAATGGGGTTAAAACTTTTTCTTCTATGTGAAATGACATCAGTAGGTCTCAGTTCTTGGAAGTCCCATAAAGTACTGCTTAAAAGCAAACTCTTGGAGGACAAGTCAGTTCCAACTCATAGTAATTCTGCAGTAGGTTTCCAGGGCTGTGAAATTTTATGGGAGGAGATGCCCATCTCTCTCCAAAGGAATGGATTTGAACTGCTGACTTCTAAGGTCCACACAGTATTCACTACAACACCAGGGCTCCTTAAAGTCAATGGCTGCAAAAGGACAGCCTGACCCCTTACACATCTAAATGACTCTTCACAGCTGTCAATATATGTGTACAATACACATACAATGTATACATATATTGTATAAATATGGTTTAATATTAATACAGATGCATATATCACTCCATTTTTATGCAAATAAACAAAACTATATTTAGTGTAAATAGGAGTATGCTATTGGCTGTTCTTTTAATGTTTTTTTAAATTAGCAAAATATCATGCCTATCTTTTCTATTTACTGACTGTATAGATGCAATCATATGATTACACCTTTATCTGTCAACCTGGTCATGTCTTGAAGGATATGTAAGGTGTTTTGTGTATTTTAGTATCAAAAATACTATCATAAATATTGATGAACATGTATCTCTGTGTAGCTGGCTTATTGCCTTGAGATATCTCTGGAAAAACTTCTGGGTCAATAAATATGCATGTTAAAATTTTGGATACATATTATAAGAATGTCCTCTAGAAAGCCTATAAATTGTAGGAAGCCACTGTAAGTTTCAGAGAAAGTTTTTTTCCCACGCTTCATCCAATAATCAATAATATCAGTATTTTAAATCTTTGTCACATTGACTGATAATAAAACACTTAGACTTTCCCATCTTACTTTTAATTTGCAGTTTTTCACCACCTTGAGCATTTTTATGTGTCTCTTGGCCATTTGGTTACTTGACTACTTTTTCAGCAGGGTGGTCAATATTTTCTTAGTCAGTTTTAGGAGCAAAATGGGTGCTGGGTTATTTCTGAATAATATGTTGGGATAGAGACCCCTTTGGATGACAGCAGGTTCTTGAAGGGAGGAGGGCACAAGGCAGGAGGCCTGTAGTGTGGTCATTTGCTCAGCACCCACCCCTTGAGACACCCTGAGAAACCCTGAACCTCCCTCCTGGGGCGGGAGGGAGGCAGCACTTGCCTCCACAAAGGCGAACTTCTCCTCGCTCGTGTAATTGTAGCGCGTGGCTCGCTCGTACTCTTCTGCGGTGCCAGGGCAGTCCTTGTTGCAGAATTTGTCCGTGGGGTGGACCAGCTTCCAAGAGTACTGGAAGAAGGAAACAGCTCAAATGTCCATCAACTGAAAGACGGGTGAGCCAAATGCAGCAGAGTATTGGTCATAAAGAGAAGTGAAGCACTGATATGTGCTACAACATGGGTGAAGCTGAGACAGTAATATAACCCCAAGTCAATACAAAAGACAGTACATTATTCTTCCTACATGCAACATTCAGATTAGGGAAATCGAGAGAAATGGAAACAGATTAGTAGTTCCCTAGACCTTTGAGAAGGAGCCCTGGTGGCACAATGGCTACCCTCTCAGCTGCTAACTGAAAGAGCAGTGGCTGGCACTCCCCGGGGCTCCATGAGAGAAAGGACCTAGTGATCTGCTTTCATAAGGACTGTCGTTGTTAGACACCACTGAGTGGACTCCACCTCACAGGGATCCTATGCACAAGAGAACAAAACTCTTCCTACAAAGATTATCGTGAGATGCCATCACGTTGGAGTCGACTCATGGGGGACTCTCCAGTGGCTTTTCAGAAGCAGTAAATTGTATGGGAGGAGACTGCTCATCTTTCTCCAACAGAGAGGCTGGTGGATTTGCCTGCAGTCCTTTGAACCAGCAGTGCAATTCCTTACCACTAAGCCACAAGACTGTATCTTCCTATAAAGATTACAGCTTCTGAAAGCCTCTGGGACAATTCTACTCTGTCACACAGGTGTCTATAAGCCAGAATCTGCTCAATGGCACAAAACAGTAAGATTCAGGTGAGAGGTAAGTAGGGGATGACAATCAACAGGTATGGAGTTTCTTTTGTTGTTGTTGATTTCCATCGAGTTGAGCATGACTCATAGCGACCTTATGAACAAAAACCTGAAGCCTTTCTTTAATTGTTATAATTTCTCAAAGTTCATAGAGTTTCCAAAGGCATATTGTTTAGGAAGTGTTTGCCACTCCTGCTTCTAAAAAAAGGGTGTTTGTAAGCCAGAATTGGCTCAATGGCACACAACAACTAGGTCCAAGTGAGAGGAAAGCAGGAGAAAGCAGTCAACAGACACAGGGTTTCTTTTAGAGGTAGTGAAAAGGTCCTAGCTACACATATCAGAGAATATACCAAAAACAATGGACTTGAACACTTTAAATGAGGCACGTGAATTTGATCTCAATAAATATGTTTAACTGAAGAGACAGAAAATACTGGAAAGAGCCTGCAGGATGGGTTGGGAGGAATGGGAGGGGACGGGGTACCCACCACTTCCATGACGTGGGCACTCCACTTGGATAAAAGCTGCAGGCCCCGCAGGGCCAGGTCGAACAGCTCGCGGTACTCCTCGTCTGACTTCTGGCTGTCCAGCCCGGAGCCCGTCACCACCTGGGGAACACGGGCCGTCACTCTCCCTGCCTAAGTGCCTAGCACCTTTGATGCATCATACCACTGATTCCTCCCACAAGCACCAAAAGGAAGGTGCTATTGTAACACCCCCTTGACCAACAAACTGAGGTCAGGTGGCTTGCCCATGGCTTAGACATGACTGAGAGTTCAATTTTGGGTGCAGGGGCACCACAGGCCTGCTCCTCACCACTGATGTATCATGGAGCAGAGGCTTTCAAACCCTGCAGGTTGTAACTCCCTAGGAAGTGACTAATACAGAGTGATCTGGGAATGCGTATACTTACATGGAGATGTTTAATAATATGAAACCACACTTTCAGGAAGCAACCTTCTTCGTAATGCACATGATTCCCTCTGATTTTCTATTCTATTTCACACAAAAGTTCCAATTTCAACCCATTTCATTGATTTCACAAATGATTAATTAATTAGACCTCATTCATAGATTTAATTCAATGGCGCAGAAAAATATCTGTATACGCCATATCTGCCAATGAAATGTAATAATACATGTTTATATAATTGTCTATGCATATATGTAAATTGTGTATTTATTCATCTATCTGTGTGCGTGATTTTAAATATAACTTTGCACCAGATTCACATTTAGCCCACACCAAAATGTGACCGAGAAGTGAGCTGGTGCCCGCACTTGGATAAATGAGCGGTACCGCACTCATCGGTTCACTGAGTGGTGCTCTAATTTCACTGAGTAGTGGCTTGTGAAGGAGACAAATAATGTGGACTGACAGGGCCAGTATTACCAGAAGGCCTCACCAGAAGGTGGGCCAATCACCACACTGCTGGTACTTGTCCAAAAAAGTCTCCATTTCAAGTACGTTGCTCTACAATCAAATGGGGAGTCCCTGGATGGCACAGACGGTTGTGTGGTGACTATCTGGTGACCAATTGACAGTTCAAACCCACCCAGAGGCACCATGGGAGATAGACTTGGTGATCTACCTTCTGAAGGGTCTTGAAATCTCTATGGCAGTTTTACCCTGCGCACGCTAGACTGTCATGAGTTGGAATCAACCGTTGTTGTATATCGTAGAGTCGGAACCGAACCATAGCTGACCCTCTAGTGGGTTTTCAGAAGCAGTTTAATCATACGAAAGGAGATCACATCTCTTACATAGTGGCTGCTGGCCTTGAACCGCATGCCTTCAGGATTGCAGCACAGCTTCTTGCCACTAGGCCACTAGATGGTTATTAACAATAAGGATCTGTTCCCAGTCTGGATTTGTAAAATATGAGCACTATAACTCTTCGCCACAAGATGGAGCCAATGAACAAACATGAAATTAAAAAAAAATCTCACACTCACACACACAACCCCTTCAAACACTGCTGCAGCATGGGAAAGTTTCTGAGGCTGCAGGTTTCAAGGCCATAAATTGCACACAAGGTAACTGTCCATCTGACTCCCTCAGAGGTGGACACTATGCCATTGCTAACTTATAGTAAACCTTGAGGACAAGAATAGAACTTACTCTTAGGGTATCAAAAGCTGTAAATCTTCACAGAAACAGATGGCCTCGTCATTCTCTGGAAAAGTGGTTAGGTTCAAACTGCCAATCTTTTGGTTAATAGCACAGCATCAAATGCTATGTTACTACCAGGGTTCTTTATCATGGGGCGGAGGGAAAACCCACCTCCAAACAACACAACTCTGTCATACTCAAACTCAAATCCACTGAGTCAGAAGCACTCAGAGCTGACCCTCCAGTGGGCTTTCAGAGGCTGTAATTGCACAGGAGAGTGTCCGCCTTTTCCCTGTGGAGCCACTGGTTGATTTGAACGACCTGTCTTTGGACTGGCGCCACAACTCCTTACCCTTTAGGGCACCAGAGCTCCCTTGTCTTGACAGTGGCAAAAAATAATTGAGGCATGCTTGCCGCCATTGATTGTGAATGCTGGTGACTGCGGGTGTGCCACACAACTGGGCCCTGCAGGGTTTGCAGGGGCTGATTCTTCAGAAGTGGATTACTAGGCCTTACTTTTGAGCACTGTTAGGTGAACTTGAACTTCCAACCTTTTGTTTAGTAACAGGCTTGTTAACTGTTTCAACCACCCAGTGCTCCAATCCAGGAGTCTATTTGGTAAAATACTTATCAGACAGTAATGGGAACAAAAATTGGAAGAGGTCTAGAAAGATGTACTTACATGCAACAATTAGTCACAGTTGGTTCTGGATGGCATGATTTTATGTGAATTTCCCTCTCCTTTGCATATCTCTATTTTCCCCCGCCCTTATATTTGTATATTGGTCATGCTTCCACATTGAAAATAAAAAGGGGAAACTCAGCATCAATAAAAATGTAGCTGTTACGCAAAACAAGAAACCATTATGAGTGTAGGGAGCTCTGCGGCCTGGTCCACAGGAAGTTGTGCTGCTAACGCAATGATCCGAACCTACCAGTGACTCTGGGAGAAAGACAGATCATCTTCTCCCATAAAATTCTGAAACTAGTTGGAGGGTCAGCTATCAGCTGGTTATAATTCGATGGCAATGTGAATGAGAGATATTAAGATTATAGACGATTTTTATGGTCTTTTCTGTCCCGTGTGTGTTTTTGGTTTTGAGTTTTTTATTTTTAATTTATTTCTCCAGTGTGTGTTTTGGTTTTGCGTTGTGGTTTTTTGTTTTTTTAACAATGACTACTGGCTATTTATTATTGTGTAGTTTGAACATATTTAGACGGTGCATGAGTATGTGCATTCAGATATCTACTCTTGTCATCCCAAGTGGAGACAGTTTGGATCATGCACATCCCAGAATCACCATTATTACCAAGTGCCAGGTACAGTTCCATCAAAGTTTCCATGGACCATCAATCAATCCATATGATCTTCTCAATGAAACCTTAAGGATAAAAGCTACTCCTATACCATTCTGAGATGAAGAAATCAAATGCTGAGTAGCTTGCCCATGCCATGAGTGACGTGAGGAGCCAGAACAAAAGCCAGTTCTACCTGGTTCCGGCCCTCTTGCCTCTTGCCCTCCCCGATGCCTGCCTTCACCCGGCTCTCCAATCCTTGTGTGTCCAATGCTGTCCTGTCGGCCCATCCCCTCCCTGCTCTGCGCCCACATGGACCTCCACCTCAGCAGCCCCCTGGCACTCACCTCACTGTTGCTGTAGCGAGCGAGTTCAGAGATGAAGCGGATGTGGTCATCCCGGATCTGCACCATCTGCTCGCAGATGTTGTACTGTGGGCTGATGCTGCTCTGGGTGCACGTCCACCTGGGCAGAAAATCACGCGTCGGAGCAGGTCCTGCCTCAAGTGTCCGAGTGGGACGGGCTCCTTCTACGCAGCAGCTGCTTGGGGTGCCTCTGACATTCAGCCCACATGACCAGCTAGCTCCCTTGTGTGCCAGGCACCTCAGAGGGACCACAGTGGGCTTCCTCTTCTTCCTTTGGGAATGGCCTCCTCTAAGACCCAGTCACAGGCTTTTCTACATATCCTGTCCAAGTACTTACCAGGTATATGAGTAAGCAAATAGAAAAGGACTAGTGGCCCCTTTAGGGCTCCAGACAACTGAAATATGAGCAAGGTAAAAAAAATGACTGGGTCACCTCCCTACACAATCATCTGACTTGAATAGCATCACCAATCCACGGGTGAAACAGCTTCAGGGTCGGGCCTTTGAGCTGGGCCTAGGAGAACCTGAAGGAGAATGTGCCTTTTTGTCACCAAGGGCTTCGCATGGGTGTGTCCTACGATGAAGAAGGCAAGACCACTGTGAAACGCAGTCCTGGTTCTCTATTTCTCCTCCCACATTTCCCTCTCCTTTTCTTCCCTCGCCTCTTTTTTGGATGATGCCATTAGGAAAACCTTCTGGAATGGAAAGAAAAATAATCTTCTCTGGTGCTGGGTCACCCAGGAGACAGACTGGGGCATGCAGTTAAAGCCAGGACACCCCAAAATGGGGGAAACTTTGTGGAAAGAATTCACTACTTCAAAGCGAGCACTGACACAGTCCTGATAAAAATATACAGAATGGTGACAGACTCACTCGCATCCACCGTGCAGTGTGGTGTCATCATGAGTTCTACCGAGTCACTTAGGGAGGGAGGGGGCTCTGCTGTCACTCACACCTCTGACACTGACACTCTTCCCTGGTGACATCAGCTCCGATCCTCTAAGCTGTTCAGATACATCTAGGAAGCTTCAATAACTGTTTATGCACATACTATTATTTAGGGCACAAATGCCCTCCCCTTGACAAAAGGACATGGTGGTCCCTTTAGGTACAGAAAGGCCAAATTCTTTAACAAAGGCCATAATCTTCAACCATGCACTCAGCTTTGGGGGAGATGCACACCAAAGAAGCAGCTTTAACAATTGTAGAGATCAAATAGGCCAAGGATCAAATCCCTCCAACTTCCATGATACACTGGCACTCCCACCGTGGCACCAAACCAAACTCCTGCCCTGTTTATTCCGACATCTAAATGACCCTACAGGATAGAGGAGAACTGCTCCCCAGGGTTCCCAAGGCTGAGAATCGCTACAGAATTAGACCACCACATCTTCTCCCATGGAACAGCTAGCGGATTTGAACGTCCAACCTTCTGGTTGGCAACTGAGTAGCACTTAACCACAGTCCCATCAGTGCTCCTCCAAATCTAGGCACAGGTCACCTTAAATCATGAGAAAGTGACATGAAATGGGTTCACCGACCCACATCACAGCTGGAACACCCAAACCACCCGGTTAGCTGCATACTTACGGCATGGACAGGACACCTGAGGAGAGAAGCAGGGTGAAGGAGACCAATTTCATTTCTCTCCACCTGACCATCAAGGGCCCATCTCTGCTCCCCACTTTAGAGACAGATTCCTGCTGTCCCTCCAGGGGGCAGTGTGGGTCACCGCTGCACGGAGAAGGGGCCATGGGCAGTGCTCTGGGCCCTTTTGAACCCTGACAGCAAAGGTGGATTCAAATGAGCTCAGAGCACGCGCCCCAGCTCCCCTCTGGCCGGGCACTGCCCACATTGTGACAGGATCCACCTGCCCAGGATCTGGGGAGGGAGGAGGGGCTGAAGTGGCCCCTCGGCCCCCTGCCCAGGCTGGGCGTGCTCGTGGGAGCCGAGAGACATTACGGCAGGCACTCACTTGGATTTGTTCTCTTCATAGTGAGCACTGGTCTTAATGTATCTGGCCAGCTCTATCTGCATGTCGCCGAATAACGGGACCACCTGCAGCTGCTGCAAAGGAAGCAAACACAGCGTGTGAGTTGCCAAGGGAGGGGCTGGGGTGCAGCCTTTACCTGCCCAGAGGGGAAGGCAGGCCACCAAGGGTGCCTCTGGGCCGATGCCTAGTTTCTGCCTCTGATGACACCACCATATTACCCTGACCAAGAGCCCCTATTAGCAACCAGGTCTTCCTATGCTCACTGAAGTTCCATGTACTAGGAAAATTAAACTCAGAGAGGCAGTGTGACTTGTCCAGCATCACCCAGCAGAACAGATAAAGGAAGAGGACCCCATGAGAAGTACACCCCAGTGTAGTGTCCTTTCTATTCATTTTCCCAGGTTGAAGGACTCGTGCTGCTGTGAACCCTACCCTACCAGTGGGTATCTGGGTACTGGGTGCAGTCTTCTTGAATGTTCCACACTGCGCGAATAACTGAAATAACACCTGGAGAGTACAGACAACTCCTGTCCGAATGCCAGGACAAATGGTGGGAAGGCCAAGCCCACTGCCCTGGGGCTGATTCTGACTCACATGACCCTTCAGGACAGAGGAGAACTGCCCCATAGGGTTTCTAAGGCTGCATGTCTTCATGGAAGCAGGCTGCCACATAGTTCCCTGTAGAGGATTTGAACCACCAGACTTTCAGTTATCAGTTGAGCACTTAACTATTTGTACCATCAGGGCTCTTTTGAGGGATTTTGTTATGTGTCGTGGAAATAGAACCAACTCAAAGCTGATCTTCCAGAAAACAAACAAATAAAAAAATGCCAAAAACCAAAACTCTGCTGATTTTCAGAGGCTGGATGAGACTGCTCATCTTTCTCTCAGGTGGATTCAAACCGACTGTCATTGGATTGGCTGCACAACTCTTTGCCAATAAGCCAAGAGAGCTTCCTTTTTAGAGGGATGTTGTCCTTATATGTGCCATCAACTACAGGTGATAGTGATCATGTGAATAATGGCTCTGAACCCTGCACTATCCTGAGCCTATCTCATGGACTCTGACACACTTGCCCCCATTTCCACAGTCACTGTGTGAATCCATCTCGCCCAGGATCTTCCTCTCCTGCACTGTCCCTTCATCGTTCCCAGCATGCTGTCTCACTCCAAGGACTGACCCCTCCTCACAACATGCCCGAAGTATGTGAGATGGAGCTTTAAAATCCTTGCCTCCAAGGACTAACCTGGTTAACCCTCTTTGGACAGAACTGTTTGTTTTCATGGCAGTTCATGGTGTGTTCCCTTCTCTAGCATGACAACTTAAAGGCATAAATTCTTCTTCTGTCATCCTTAGTCATGCCCATCTCTCTGATGCATAGAAAGCAACTGAGAGACCATGGCTTGGCTCAGGCATATCTTAGTCTTTAGAGTAACATCATTGCTCTTTAGCACTGTAGAAATATATTTATTATTATTATTATTTCTTATGTTGAGTATCATCAAATCAGATTTGACTGGTACAGGAGGAGATTGCCCTTCCTTCTCCAGCAGAGCATCTGGTGTATTCGAACCGTGTACCACTGGGATTGCAGTGCAGCTTCTTGCCACTAGGCCACCAGAGCTCCCTTCAGGAGAGATTCTTATAAGCAGATATTCCCAATGCAACTTGTTTTTTGATTTTCTGACTACTGATGCCAAGGTTGTTGAAGCGGATCCCAGCAAGATGAAATCATTAAAAACTTTTGGAATGGTAGCTAGTGATTATTTTTTCCTTTGATGCCCTAGGCACACTGCCCAAGCATTTAAAAAAACACTCTCTCAGCGTAGGCTCACTGGTGGAGGGGTGGGTATATAACTGAAAGAACTAGAAGAGTTCTGTGGCATTTACCCATGTGTGCGGCAAGGCCTAGAGCCTTGAGGCCCAGTGTCAGGAAGGTCCCTGAGAGGGCACTTTAGAAGAAGCTGTCCTGCCTGAAGAATTGTACCCTACATGTTTCTGGACTGAGTTGTGGCCTGTTGTTGTTAGGTACTGTCAAGTTGAGTATGACTCATAGCAACCCTGTGAACAAAAAATCTGAATGCTGTTCTATCCTGCACTGTCCTCACACTTCCTGACACATAAGAGCCCATTGCAGCGGTCACTGTGTCAATCTACCAGGTCGAGGATTTTCCTGACCCTCCCTCCACTCTTCTTAGCATTATGTCCTTCTCTTCCTAGCAACATGTCCAAAGTATGTGAGGGGAAGCCTTATCATTCCTGCCTCCAAAGGGCACAGTCATGGAGGGAAGGAGGGAAAGGGAGAACAATGAAAAGGGGGAAAAAAAATCCAAGTAAAAAAAACCGTAAGCAAAAGAAACACTATCTTGATCCATACGATGGCCCTCTGAAGTTAATACTCTTATCACTCTCATTTAAAAAATAAAGAAACTGAAGTTTTGGCAGATTTGGCAACTTTTCATAAAGCCAAGCCACCTAGAAATCAAAGAACCAATATTATAACCCAATATTATTATTACGATCCACCCATACAATCCCACTTAATCTTCAAGGGAATCCTGAGAAATAGATAGCCCTTGAACTCTTCTTTCTCAGGCTGGGAACTAAGCTTCAAGGGCACTGGTAATATCCTGAGAGTTCCTGGGTGGTGCAAAGGGTTAACATGCTTGACTACTAACTAAAAGGATGACAGTTTGAATCCACCCTCAGATGTCTAAGAAGAAACATCTGGCATTCTGCTTCTGAAAAATAGCAGCCATAGAAACCCCTACAAAGTACAGTTTTACTCTCCAACACATGGGTTACCATGGGCTGGAGTCAACTCAGCACCAACTGGTGGGGAGTACGTCATTTCCCCAAAGAAAAGCAGCTATTGAGCCACAGAGCGAGAACCAGAACCCTGTTTTGGATGAGTGTGAACTCTTCCGGCTCACCTAGTCTCTTTTATGTTGACTCCAAGAAAGGGCAGCCTTTGCCAAGGTGTCTCTAGGAAAAAGTATAAATTCTACCTTTGAAAACAAGCAAACCAAAGCTGAAGAATTGGTTTGGTGACTTATTTTTCCCCTAAGTCTTGAAGAGTCTGTGTGATCCAGGACCAGCCACTATGCATTATGCAGCACCTTCAAGTGGGTTGGTTTTTTTATTTCATTTAGACATTAAGCCAGACCCAATTCCATGAATATCTAACACTAGAAACACTGATGAATTCAGTCCCAAAGCATGAAATTCCTTTACAAAAACCTTGAAGGCTTAATTTAACTGGAAGCTTTCCTTTCAAAGGTTTGAGGCCAGAGTTTGCACCTAGGAGGATTGGACTGGATAGGCTCGAAATGGAGCGTGTGTCTGGATACTGCCCAGGGGGTGGGGTGCAAGACCAGACGGCCTTTGAGGGCTGGTCAACAGGACGTGATTCTGTGAGCTGGAGTCAATTTAAAACTCAACCTTTAATCCTCATCATTCGAAGTGCTCTGATTTGTCCACAGAGCTAATTTAACATCCAATTTCAAAATTAAAGTACTGTTGTATGCTGGGAGGTACTTCTTTTTTTACTTTAGATAAAGGAGTTCAGAAAAGGGGGGTAAAGAACCAAAACAGGATGTAAAAGGAATCATTAGGTCTCCGAGCCAGACCAGGGGCTGAGACGTAGAATCAGGTTTGATTTTCCTTGATGAACAATTCTCTTTCCCTATAGTGCACATTCTACCACCTGGGGCTGCTGGGGGTCTGCTACCCTGTCTCCTCTTCCCGGCAGGGGTCTTGCTGTACACTCACCAAGCCCATTGTCCCCTGGCTAACTTCATTCACAGGAAACGTGGCCCCGATGACCCCTTGCCCCCAGACCACCCCGCCTCAGCCCCAGTCACTGACCTTGAAGAACTTGTCAATTTTGCTAAGGTTGATTCTCTTCTTGGCATCCAGTTTGTAAATATTGCTGACATTTCCATCCATCAGGTAAAGGCCAAAGCCCATGACCTAGAAATGCAAAGAGATAGAGCATGGGAAAGGTCTCACTGGGAAAAGGTGTGCTTTTTTAAATGCAGGTTAGAATACATGTATAGATACATACACAGAGACTGACTCTGCAGAAACACAGTATGGACCAAGAATGCCTACATCTTCAAGTAAACAAGGAAGTATCAGTTTCATTTCAACCAGAAATTTAACTGCTGTAAAGACATGGAGGTCCTTTAGCATGCTAGGCTGGTGGCTACTTCTTGGGCTCTTACTATTTATGCTCACTGTGAATTTATGCTCTGTGTTTAGGGTTTTAATTCTTACAAAAATCATATAAATCAAGTTCTATAGAGGAGGAACCTAGAGATGAGATACAGAAAGGTTAAGTAGCTTTCTAAGGTCACACAGAAAGAGGCAGAGATGAGATGTGAATCAGGTTCTGATTGAAAAGAAAATGCATGCATTTAGGTGCTTTCTTGAGAAGGAATCCTTTTTGCAGCCCTGGGATCTAGCACATAGCAGGCATTTGGTGAACACTTGTGAAACACGGAATGAATGTAAAAATACCCACATCTTTCCCCAAGTTAAGATTCCTGAAGGGCAGTTGAACCTACTTCTGTCCACTGCATTCGGGCTTCTAGCAGCCTCTGTGGGGTTTCTAAGCTGTAAATCTTAACAAGGGGAGACTGCTCAACTATCTTCTGGAAAGCAGCTGACAGATTTGAACTTCTGATCTTTCAGTTAGCAGCCTGACATACTACACACAGTGCCACCAGGGCTCCTCTGAAGAGTCCGTCCCACTGCTGTTGAGGGCATTCCGCCTCCTAATGATACTCCTTTGAGGTTTCAAGGCTTTAAATCCTTACAGAAGGAGACTGCTCTTCTTTCTTCCACAGAGAAGCTGGTGGATTTGAACCCCTGACCTTTCTGTTAGCAGAACAACACACAAAGCACTATGCCACCACCAAAGCTCCTTGAATAGTCCTTATTCCTCACTGCCACCAAGTCAGAGGTGACTCATCACTGACCCTGCAGCAGATTTCTGGAGGCTAGAAATCACGTGGGAGGAGACTGCTCATCCTTCTCCCTCTCTGTCATGGGGGGATTTGAACGCCATTAGTGAACTGAAAAACAAACCCTAAAACAACCTAGACTGAGAATACCCTGTAATCAGTCAGCTTTCAAGGCTAATTCTTGATATTCCAGTTTATTTAGTAATCTGAAAGCCAGTTTGTTCTAATCCTTTGTTCAAACGTACAGCTGAAAAGTGAGCTAGGGACAACTGGAATGAAAGTAGCTTCCCTTGGCCCACTATGGCTGTGGGACTATAAGTGGGTTTTCTCTCTGTGCCTTCATTTCTCATTCAATACATAAGAGAGTGGAAAAGAAGTAGGGCTGCTTTGGCCAGCTACCTTGGTGGGTTTGCAGGCTGCCTGGCTTTTCCTTTTAGTGATGGTGGCACCCCCTGGTGGCAGCTGAGTTAACATCAGAGAATGTGACAGTAAGTTATTTGGTTTTTCTTAAAAATAATTTTAATGAGCATTTACAGAGGTTTTTTCTGATGCCACACTGAAGCGGATGGAGAACAGAGAGGGAAGAAACTAGTATTATGGGATGTGGAGGCATTAAAGGCAGGTGAGAGGAAAGGAGGCTCTTGGAGTTTGAAGGCAAAATCTATTTTAATTGCCTGGACTTGGATTTAATAGCCTGGTTTGCAGAAGCAGCAAGGTTGGAGAGTTTGAATTGCCCAGGAGAGAGTTATAAAAGCTGCATATGAGTACACTAAAAGGCTTCTCTGGATTTCTAAAGAAGCCAAAGAACATCTCACAAAGTCATACTTCCCTAAAGACATAACTGAGATGCATGGAAATAGAAAGAAGGACTGGAGGAGAGAGCAAGAAAGGAAAATCCACCAGGATGCTATGAAAGGTGAAGATATACAGAGACGGTCGTTCATTTGTGTTCCATCTGAGACCAATCAGCAAGAAGACAGTAGCTAACACACAGGATTTCTATGATTGCAGTTGATGCAGAAGTGACAAGAAGCAGCCAACACACAACACAGCTTTAGTTAAACAAATGGAGGCTCGTCCGTGCAACACTATTTTAATGGGTGCATACTATTCCAAATATATTTAATGACATGAGACAAAAGCTATAAACAATTTATGTATATTTTATTTCATATTTTCAATATATGTTGGTTTATGTATAAATTTTTCAGTTTATGATGTCTTTGGAAAATGTGTAAGCCTAGGAAAAAATGGAAGATACACATATCAAAATGCCAATTGTATTGCCTCTGGATGGAAAGACTTTAAGAGATTTTAATTTTTTTTGTGATTGTATATATATTTTAGACTTTCCACAATGAAGAAAGACTTGACAACTTTAAAGTGGAACTTGCACACTGATGAAACAAGTATGACCATTTAGGCAAGAGACAGCAGATGTTTGAAGATTTTTTGTATTCCCTTTGAGTTGGCAAGTTCTCTTTGAACAAGATCCACCACAGCTACCGTCCAGGAGTGCAGGAAGGCTGTGTTCAGGGGTGTTCAGGGTGATACAACAGTCAGGATTCTTCACAGAACATCTCCAGACAATGGAAAACTCAGTAGCCACTAAAGTTAACTTATAAGAATATCCTTAAGGTGTACGTGATATATTACATGGAAAGAGCAGGACACAAAACGATAGGTATAGTCAGTACTGTATTAATATTTAAGGAGAAAGAAACAGGAGAGAGAGAGTGCAAGCGGAAGCTGAGGTGCGTGTGAACGCAGCGACCTTACTTTGAGGAGCATGTGCTTCTCACTGGGGGTCAGGTACATCTTATTCTCATAGTAATCCACGCAGATGTTGACGATGTCGGCCAGCAGCTCCTCATAGCCGGGGATCACTTCCAGCTGCTGATGGAGACACTAAACAGAAGCACCCCGGGTCAGGCAGATGCCCTCGGGTTTCCTCACCCTCACCTGCCTCCCGGCAGAGCACCCACACTGCCCAGGAGGAGACAGTAAACATGGTGCCTGCTCCCTGCCCAGAAGTCCCCACACACTCACACCTGATGCCCAAGCCAACCCCAGAGTGGCTGTTCCTTCACACCTCCCATGGCAGGAACTCACACCTCTACTCCCCCACCTCAGACCCTTCTTCTTTGCTGGCTCTTCTGAAGTGAAAGGCAGCTCAGCTTCAGAGTAACAATGATGCTGCCAAGCTCGTTCCAACTCATGAACGCTCCATGCTTGGCAGAGTAGAAATGTGTTCCGTAGGTTGTCATGGCTGACTTTTCAGGAAGTTGGCCACTAGACCTTTCTGCCAAGATGCCTCTGGGTGGAACTGACCCTCTAACTTTGGGGTAGCAGCTGAACATGTTAATTGTTATGCCTCACAGGGATCACTTCTAGTAATAAGCCTATAGAAATACTGGGTTCATTTTGAGACTATCAACTCCTGTCCCCATCTCCTCGGGCAGGCAGCAGGAAACTCAGCCCAGGAGAGGAGAGCGGGACCAGCAGGTGTCTCCCTCCTGTTAGGAAGCTCAGAAACACGTCCTGTCACAGGACAGTCAAAGAGACGGAAGGGGTCTCCCCGTGGGGTCCAGAGAAGGGAGTATCCACTGATGGTGTTCCCCATAGGCAACATTGGGAGGGCAACTTGGAGTCACAGAGGCTGAACAGCATCCATGGTTCATAAAGAGCAGGACAAGCCCTGTCAGTCCAGAGCCTTCAGGAGAGAAATCTGAACTTGAAAACCCTCAAAATATGAAATACCTCTAGGGTTTAGCCTGAGGCCTGCAAACACTATTTCTGATGCCAGTTTAGCTTAGGCTAACACACGAATGAGATGGATTATATCATGATTTGTGCCTGCATGATGGAGCCTCAGAGCCACAGCTGAGGGCAGTGACCTGGCAAAGTGGTCACAGTAATAATATCTGCATCTTCTAAAGTGCTTGTCCGATCCTTTGTGTGAGGAATTTTTACATATTCTCTCACCACAACAATGCTATGGTCTAATGCTGGACTCTGAATATATCCTTAAAATACTACTCCCATTTTACAGAAACTGAGGCTTGGATTTTAACCAAGCCCTCACAGGAGGTCAGGGGTGAGTCTAAGATTTGAAAGCAAAGACGCTGAACTCACCCTCTGCACAGTGAATAAGAAAGCACTGGCAGGGAAAGCTCACAGACCAGAAACCAGAAGGACCTATGGCTGGGAAGGAGAAGTTAGTCTGTGGATGTACTCCATTCCCACCTTGAGCCGTGCTTGGGCAGTGAAGATGGAGGGGTCTGGGCTGAGCTTGTCTGTTTACAGTCCCCAATCTTTAGGTCCTGCTGAGAAAGAGCCTGAAAGGCATCCCCAAGAAGCCAGGCCAGGACTAGCAGGGTCCGCCCTCACCTGGGTGATCCTGTTGTGGTTGGCCAGGAACATGGAGAGGTTCTGGGACTCCTGGATGGACTGAGGGTCCGCCATCTTCCTCAGGAACTGTGCTGCCCTGGAACACAAAGAAACAGCTCAAACCAGCCACTACATCACATCTTACAGGCACCAGCTCCCAACCAGTCCGGCATCTGCCTAGAAACATATCACCAAGGTTAGCGTGCTCTGAATATCACAGGTGAGTATGATGTCAAAGAAAACTATGTCGTGGAGTTATCTGTTTGGTGCTTTATAACTATGATATTGTTGTTGTATACTATTGAGTCAGAAACAACCCATAGCTGACCCTCCAGTGGGTTTTCAGAGGGAGTAAACAGCACAAAGAGAAGCAGTTTCTCCTGTGGAGCAGTAGCTGGTGGATTCAAACCATGTGCCTTCAGGTTGGCAGTGCGATTCTGTACCACTAAGTCTAAAATAACAAGGCGCCTACCATTTCTAAAAACCAAAATTAAAAAGCAGTTAAATCTCTGACATTTGTCTGAGAGCCCTCGAGGCCCCATGCCAATCCCCACGTGTCCGAGTAGAACTGTGCCCCAGAGGGACTGTAAGAGATGACTGTGCATAAGTTGATTGCCGGACCTTTCTTACGAGGCACCTCTGGATAGACTCAAACTTCTAACCATCTGTACTGCTCAGGGGCTCCTAAAAGCAGTTGTTGGTTGGAGCCACGGAGTCTATTGACCCCACAGGATTTTCTGGGCTGGAGCTGCAATAACATAGTTTGCAGCAATCTGTGTGCTAGCCTAAAAGCTATGCATCTCCAGTGATTCAAATATTGCAGTGGCCCTGAGGGAGAAAGATGGATAATCGCCTCTCTCTGTGACTGACAGCCTCGGAAACCAACGGTGGGTCACCAGGAGTCAGAATCAACTCGCTGTTACTGAACGTGAGCTTTTTCTCTTTCAAATATTGATGTGGGCAGATCTCTAAGTTTTCTTCCTACGCAGTCACTTCGGGGGGTTCACACTGCCAACCTTTCAGGTAGCAACTCAGTTGAGAGCTTAACTTCTGCACTCGCTGGGACCCTCAGCATCTTAAGGAAAAGCTGAGAATGGTAGGATACAACAGTGAAATAGGCCCATCCTCTGCCTCCTTGGCAACCCTGAGCGCAGTCTCAGTGACAGTGCATCAGAAGTGCTTTAAGCCTCTCACTCATGGAGTATTTCTGGGCAGGATGCTTTGTTCTTGCCACATGACCTGCCACTGCCACACATTTCTATAACAAAGCATTATACAAAATCCAATAATCTAAACAGGATACAGGTGAAGAGAGAAGGATGCAGGAAGCAAACGCAGGTTTAAAGGGAGAGAATCTCAGCTCCCTGAATGACTACACCCCAAGCGGGAGCGGGCAGCCTGTGAGTGAAGAGTGAGGGCAGAGAGCATGCTTGCACTGCCGATGGCGCAGGCTGGCCAGGGAGGATGTTGGCTATGGCAGTTGGCTCTAACTGGGAGACTTTTAAGGAAGATGGTATTCAGTGAGTTGTATATCAAACCTGTGGAAGCTGTCATTTCTGATTTGGGACTTGGATCAAGTTCTGCCTGCTGGGAGCCACCATTTATTTCACAGTCCAACCAGGAGAACAACACTGTGAGAACATCACTCTCTGCTCTCTCTAGTTGTTTAGAAACTGGGGGGGTGGGAGTGAAGTTGGGTGGGAGATGTGCATCAAGGAAGGGGTCCTTCTGGCTCAGGGACATGGAACATCTTCCCAAGATGTTCATCCTGACACTGTACAACCCCTGTGAGCCTTACCCGGGCAGAGGGAGAACACCTTGTCCTGCCTGCCCTTCCCGCCTTGGCCTCTCCCATTCTAAGTCCTTCAAGCTCTTCTTTCTTGTGAGTTAGCACTGACCCCTGTCTCTAGACCTGAACACATCTAATCTGAGCACCGACACTTCTCTCTCCTGCCCACGAGACCCACTCTTTCTGGAGGCTTTTACGGAACATGGTGAGTGAAGGAGCCACCCTGAGAATGAAGCCAATACAGATGAAAGTTGAACCGAGAGGTGACCACTGCTCATAGCTTTGGGTACATGGGTCCGGGTATGTCTGCACTGGGCAATTTCAGCAGTTTTACATAAGCACTATAAATTAGATTTAAAAAAAAAATCTCACTGAAAGTTACTATTTTAAAAATGAAAATTCACTGTCATTGAGTTGATTCTGACTCCCAGCAACCCTGGAGGACCAAGCAGAAAGGGAGTTCTGGTGGTGTAGTGTGTAGCGTGTTGTGCTGCTAACTCAGAAGCAGTGAGCCCCTAGCAGTTCAAACACACCAGCAGGACAAAGATGGGCAATGTCTCCCAGGGCCATGTACAGCCTCACAAAGGCTGCTGGAGGGCCAGCCATGAGTTGGCTCTGGCTCAGTGACAATAGAAAGGACCAGGCAGAACCTCCCCAGAGGGACTATAATCTTTACAGAAGCGGACTGCCTTATCTTTCTCTCATGGTAGTTGTTGGTAGTTGGTAGTAGTTGAGTTGAATTGACTCATAGCTAAACCCCTAGTGGGTTTTCTGAGCCAGTGGATTTGAAACATTCACCTTTGGTTAGCAAAGGTGTCACTATTAAATGACTATCTTAATAGTCTCATACCGCCTGGGACAACAGGAAATCCTGCTTGACTTCCACAGGAGTCAAAGGATATGGACTGAATTCCATCTTGAGAAATAACACTCTGTAAGCCCTCTGTACACCCAGCCTCACACCTCAGCCTCAAGCCACACAGATGGGCGCATAAATGCCATACATGGGGAATGGCTGCTTTGGCTGTGGAGAAGGAGGCTGGCAGAAGGCTCCCTGTACTATTTCATGCAACTGGCTTCCAGGTGAGAAGGGCCAGGTTAGTAGGGGTGGGGCATGGGAAGGGGATCCTGACCTCTTATAGGCTGAGTGGTCGTTCTTGACGCTACACTTCATGTTCTTCAGCTCGTCCAACACTGCAAACATGTTGATGAACTTGCCCAGGGTCAGGAGATAGGCCTCGGAGACGAAGTCCTTCCTCCGCTCAGCATGGCACAGACGCTTCACCTCGCTGCAGAACCGCTCGATGGCCTTGCGCTGCAGGCAGGGGCAGAGAGTAAGGACAGGTGGCTGACGGGGAAGCTCACCGCACAGTCTGCTGGGGGTCGGGGTCCAGACTCCCCTGGGGTCCTAGTCAGAACCTCAACATTCAGAGAAACACAAATCTGCTAGGTGACCTATCTCAGGAGAGCCTGGAACCTGGCACCTGCCCCTGTGTGAGCCACAGCAACTGATCACATGACTACACATCTGATGCAAGATTGTCTCACATAACTACACATCTAATAAGAGGTTCTCTGACTTATTCAGTTCATATTCCCAATACCCAGGGCTGTGTCAGGCACCAGATAATAAAAAGATATCTACAGACAGTGACAGAGACATTCTATAAAAGGCATTCACTCTCTCAATGACTACTGAGCAGCTACTATGTACTTATGTACCATTCTAGGTACTTTGGTAGGGCAGGAAGCAAAATATAAGGAAGTAAATCAAAACATTCAATTCTGCCTTAAGGAGCATAGTATATTATAGTGAGAGAGGATATAAACAAAATAAGTAAATAAATTCTCTGTACTATGGCAGAGGAAAATTAGTATGGCGAAAAGGATGAGGAGGGACAGGAAGGGTTGTAATTTTAAGTAGGAAGATCAGAGGAGAAGTAATGATTTTTTAGGAAAAGAATCTTAAAAAAGGGGAAGAAGAAAGCCAAGGAGGTGACCAGAGACATGCAGTTCAGGCAGGGTGAACAGCTGTGCAAAGGCCCTGAGGCAGGAGTGTGCAGGTGGGTCTGAGGGATGGGCAAGAGGCCAGGTGCTGAAGTGAACTGAGGGGTACGGGGGAAGGAGACCGTGAAGAGTTAAGGGGCCAGGACCAGACCACCCTGTCGTGAAGGCTCAGGCCCTGACACTGAGCAAGTCCAGGAGATGGCAGAGGGCTCTGAACAGGGTAACATGACCTGAATTCTATTTTACCAAGGTCACAGCAGCTGCAATGGGGAGAGCAGATTGCAGCAAGGCAGGGTAGAAGCAGGTACCCCAGCTAAGGGGGTACAACATTTAAAGGTAAAGTTTTCATGAGACCTAGCAACTGTACTCAGGTATATTCATAAGACTTGCGAAATCATATGTTGTTGTTGTTGTTGTTAAGTGCCGTCGAGTCGCAGGAGACTCATAGCGACCCTATGAAGGAGAGTCCTCGATGCTTGGGTGCCTTTCATCCTCTCTCCAGGTTCATAGTGTTTCCAGAGGCAAGCTATTATGGAAGTGGATGCCACTCCTCCTTCCACGCTTGTTTTAATCAGGGAGCTCCACCCCACTCTCTGTCTGCACTGGGTAGCCAACCATTAACGCATTTGACACATCCGTGAAATCATATACCTACACAAAAATTTTTTTATTATTTATAGGGCTTTTGAAGACCTCTTATTTCAGAAGTAGATGGCCAGTCCTGCTTCTTACTCTTAGTCCAGAAGATCCACTGAAACCTGTCCTCCCTGGGTGCTCCTCCTGGCATTTGAAATATTGGTGGCATAGCATCACAGCAACAGGCAGGCCACCACGGGACGGCAACTGACAGGCGAGTGGTGACGGTGAACGCGGATGTGCTTCTCTTGTGCTGCAGACCTTCTCTTCACTAAACACTTCATGTCAGAGGTCTTCAGATTAGCATTTAAGCAGTTTCCAGATATTTATGCTCTCAAGGATCTCCCTTCTGTAAGGAATTTCAGGCTCCTTGAAGGCAGAATCATAATGGCAGTAAAAAGAGTGAGTTACCAAAGCTATTCTGCAGCCAGGGCTGGGCTTTCCTCTGACCTTACTGAATCCACACTGCACATGTGCACCTGGCCCACTGCAGGCAAGGCGTCGCAGATTCAAAATGGGCCTACATGTGTCAGAGTGCTCCACAGGTTTACAGAAAGACGTTACAAGGCCTCTCCAAGTCCCCTCTGGATGGATTAAAACCATTAGCCTTTTGGTTAAGTAGCCATGGGCCAACTATTTGCCATATCCTAGGACGTAAAGCACTGTTTCCAAGCAAGAAATCTGAGGTCAGGGATGCTGGCTCATACAGGTTGGCGTGTGACAGAGCTGGGTGTGACCGGCGTTTCTTGTCCTGTGAGTCAGTGGACTCAGGAGTGGCTGGTTCCATTTTCACCTGACTGAAAACACTCCCATCCGTACCCCCTAGTGAACAATGCACGGATGTGTGGGTATGACCTGGTTCGGTCCTGGGGTACAGATGTGTCTTAAGTACTCAGTCTGCATTCCTGAACACCTTCCAACAGAACCACAACAGCCAACTGGCTTGCAATCTTACGCCCTGTCATTTCTGTTTAACCAGCGAGCCATCTTCCATGCATGGAAAACCCTCGCTCCTGTTTCCGCATTCAAATGATCAACTCCTCTCAGCTTCACTACTGGCCTCCCAGCCACCACTGGTGACCTCTATTTTCTTCTCTCACTGTCCCTCTCCCGCAACCACAAACCTCAGTGTGCTGCCTGAAAACCTTAAACAGATCATGTCATGAAAACTCTCCAGTGACTTCCCACAGTGTGCGAATAAAAGTCAAATATACTTTTCTTGACCCACCTCACAACCTGCAATGTGTTACCTGGCCAGGCCCCTGCCTGGCCCTGCAGCTTCATCTTCCCCTGCTCCTCTTCCTCAGGGTACCATGGTTTTCCCGGCTTCTTTCCATTTCCCAAACATGCCAGGCTCCCGCTGCCTCAGGGGCTTGGTGTCTGCAGCACCCTCTGCCTTCCACACGCTCCCCCTAGACCCCCACAACAGCCTCTTTCTTACCACACAGACCTCACCTCCAATGGCTCCTCCCGAGAGGCCACCCCCACAGCTAGGCCACGTCCAAGCATACTCCCTCACAGTATTCTGTTTTTATTTCACTCACACAACTTATTCTTGCTTTGAAATCATATCTGAATGGGTCCCTATCCAAAATGCACACATATACTCTCTAGGATATAAGGAGTATGGATTGGGGAACTTTTCTATTTTACTTACCCAGGGTTAGAGTAGGTGGTCAAACATTTGCTGTAATACTAAAAAAAAAAAAGCATGACAGGAAAATACAGGTGCCTAATAGCCTGGCCCTGGTCCACCCAAACCCTCACCTGAAAGTACATGAACTTCATGAGCTTGGTGACCTCTGGCTCCAGCACCTCCACTGTCTTCTCATAGATCTCCACTCTGTTTGGCTGTTCATTGCATTTCACCTAGAGCAGAGGGGCAGGGAGCCACGGTTTAAACATGCTGGTTTGCCCGGACCGCCTGGGCTCACACCTGTTGTCTCAGTACCTGGGTTTGAACATCCCAGTGAGGAGAGGTCAAAAGGCCCCTGCCAGAGAGAGGGCAGACTGTTCTCCACAGTCTGGTTGCAAAAGAGGAACCAGCTGGTCTGAGACCACAAACTTCCTTTCTCTGTTGCTTCCTGATCATGAACTGTACACATTAGCTCTGTAGATCTGCAATTCTCCCTCATTCAGTCTTTCCCTCACCCCTATTCCATGTTAAAATCTGGCCAGATTTTAAGCAAGAAAAAATGTTCTGCCCTGCATTCCAGATGTACCTGGGACAAAGCTGGCCTAGCCATACCCAGGCCAACATTGACCAATGAGAGACATGCCCTTCAAGAAATCCATTTTCCTGCTCAGTGGCTTTTAGCCAGTATGTGCCGCTGACACTTCACAGCAATGCCCCAGACTGCGAACAGGTTAACAGAATTCAAAGAATTCAAGAGCAAGATACATACAGGACATTGTTGTGAGGACATTGGTAAAGTGGCAGCAACATCTTGCCATCAGTCATTGGTTCAATGAATTAAACATATTATGGTGCAATTATACAATGGTATTATATAACTGTTACAAGGAACAAGAGACCATATGAACCAAGAAACTGACAGGTTCAAATAGTTGCAGAACAGTTAAGTATAATTTTATCCCATTTTTTTGTTAAACAAAATGCTGAGTGAATGTGTATGTATTCAAATATACTGCTGTCCCAGAATATCTGAAAAGTGTGCAAATTAAACTGGTGATAATAGTAATTACCTTAGCAAGGGACTAAAATTAGGACGGTAATAGTTTCTGTTTCCTTAACAAATCTCTGAGCTTTTTTGTTTTGTTAAAATGGGATCCACTAATTATAGGATGGTACTGCTAATGATAAGAAAAACATCTGTAAGTATCGACATGAAAAATCAGTTGTGAAAAACTAAATGGAAAAAAGTAGAACAAAATAAATAAGAAAAATATACTTTGTGAATGTTAATACTTTATAAAATGATACACATATGAAAAATGGAAAAAAGTAAGTAGCAAAACAATATAAATAAGAAAAATATACTTTATAAATGCTAATACTTTATAAAATGATACACATATAAAGAAAATGATCCAGAAAAAGGTGAACCAAATATTCTAAAGTGAAGAGGGTGAGGGGATGGGTGGTGTCCTACTGTTTGGTTTATAACTCCTGATTACAGAAGAACAGTCCAATTATCATAGTCAGCTTTGAGGCAGGGGGGGACCATCTACAGAACACATTTTTAAAGTCTTTGGGCCGGGGACCTGTCATTATTTTCACAGGAAGCTCTCTGACTGATGCCAGAGTGACCCTTGCTCACTCTCCTTTGCCCCCTTTCACCTAGACAAGATGCTCGTAACAGCTGTCTGTGGGACACTTGGGTAATAGCACCCTTGGACTGGAAAAGTGGGACATGAGACAGGGACAGTCTCACCTGGGGGATGGCCCGGGAACAACTGCGCCAGGTGTACAACATGACCGCATACTCGTGCCCTTCTTCCAGCATTTCATTCTGAAACAGAAAATATACTCCACACATGGCTGCTCAACAGCCCCTAAACCCTCAGTTACCACAGGGCCACCTGGGGGCTCAACAGAAATGAGAACACGAGGCCCCTCCATGGGCCTACAAAGTGAGATTCTGCATTTCAACAAAGTCCCCAGCTGGCTCCCTTGCACAGAAAAGCACTGGCCTAAATCATTCCCATGAGGCTTTGTAACCTGGCCACATTTTTCAAACAGATGATGAGTGTGATGGAGAGGATGAGGCAAGGCTATCTGTTCGCATGGTAACAAGTGGTTCACAGTTACACTATGAACAGGGAGATAACAAGTAGCAAAACACGAGGTACACCAGATGGGTTAAAACAATAAAGAGTAGTAAATACAAAACTATACATCATGACATCTTGAAAAAGCTTTTGGTGGATTATATATCAAGTTAAGATTAGCAAACTGGGGCGTGGCATGTAGAACTAGTGTTCTGCACTCTTATAAACACCCATGCTACTAGTCATAAACAAGAACATGATTAATAGAGATTAAAAAAAAATAATAAACAGAGCAGATGGTAGAATTAACAACAGCATGAATCTGAAATAATGACTCATCTCACCTAGTAAGAACTGCTGCAGACAGATTCTCAACTCAGGGTACAAACACCTGGGCTCAAATAGCTTTCTCATTTGGTATCCCTGTGACCTTTAGTAAATCATTTCATAACCTAAAATGCCCAATGAGCCATCTGATAATGATAATAGCAACCATCTTATAATCACATATAATTTTGTGAATTAAAGGGGAAAAATATAACCACATGTATACATATTGTTGTTGTTAGGTGCTGAGTATGGCCCACAGCGATCCTATGAACAACAGATTGAAATTCTGTCTGATCCTGTGCCATCCTCACACTTCCTGACGCACTAGAGCCCACTGTTGCAGTCACTGTCAAGAGTCTTCTTCTCTTCTAAGGACCCTCCAACTTCCCAAGCATGATGTTCCTCTCTAAGGAAAAGACCTTCCTAGCAACAAGCCCATGGTATGTGAGACGAAGCTTTATATATTTTTGTAAGGTATGCAAAGCTTCATGTACATGTTAGGTAATCTGTGAAAGGATTGTTAACTACAAAAGCAATCTGGCAGTTTTTAAAAAGCAAAGCATAGAGTTATAAAATTTATTGTTGTCCACTGAGAACTGACTCATAGCTGACCCTACAACAGGTTTCCAAGGCTGTGAATTGCTCAGGAAGAGACTGCCAATCTTTCTCCCATGGAGCCACTAATGAATTCAAACTGTCCCGAAGACACACCCTCTGGTTAGCAGTGCAGCACCCTACAGACTGCCATCTGAGCTCCGTTAGTTAGCATATGACTCAGCAATTCTACCCTGAGGAATATTCTCAAGAGTACAGAAAACACATGGCCAAGTGAAAACTTGCTCATGAATGTTCAGAACAGTACTATTCATAATTGCAAAGAGTAGAACATTAAGAACTGAACAGAGTCCCTCAAAACGGTATGTTGGTGTCCTAACCTCAGAGCATGTTTGGAAGTAGGGGGATGGGGATCGGGACTGACTACTAACAGACCTAGCGTGATTTTCTTGGGGGAGGAGAGGTCTTTGAAGATGTTGTCAGTTAAGTGAACATGAGGTCATTCTGGAGTAGGACAGATTTCAACCGATTTTGAGTGTTGTCCTTATAAAACATGAAAAGAGACAGGTGGGAAGGATAGTCAGGTGAAGATGCGTCTTTGTAGAAAAGGGACACCTGGGGCAAGAAGCTAAGAGAGATCAGAAAAGACTAACAGCTTCAGAGGGAGCAGAGCAAAGCCAGCATGTTGATTCACTGCCAGCTTTCAGAACTGTACGACAGCAAATTTCTGTTAAAGCCACAACTTTATGAGACTTTTTATTATAGCAGACCTCGGAAACCAATACAATCGAACCAGCCCAAGTGCACATCAATTAATGAATAGATATACACAATGCAACGTGTCCATACAAAAGTGTATCGTTTCGCCACAAAAAGGAGTGAAATAAAGATGGGTAGGAAAGAAAGACAAATGAAAATGGTTTTGCACAGAGAGGAAAGTAGGCAGAGTGCTGGTGCATTGTAGGGACTGCACTGAGTGTCACAAATCAAAATGCACGTGAACTATTGAATGGAAAACTAATTTGCTTTATATACTTTCACATAAATGAGTTTTTTTTCTTTTAAAATAGGAACTAAATACTTGTACATGTTGCATCTGAAAACGAACCTTTCTAACATGAAAAGATAGACTGAATTAGGAAAGTCTGTTCTCAGAGACCCCTCCAGGGTACTAAGGAGCAACAATGTCAGTCTACAGACCAAGGAGCACCTGATCCAAGACATGATCTTCTCAATAACTTGCTATCCATCAGAGAGCTGGACAATAAAAATGAGAGGAGAAAAAAAATTGATGCTTTTGAGTTTTAGAGCTGCAGAAGAGTACTGAACATACCATGGACTGCCAAGAAAACAAGCAGGTCTGTCTTGGAGAGTGTGAAACCAAGTTTCACATTCCATTTCACATATTTTAGGCACGTGGCCAGGCAGGACCAGTCCTTGGAGAAGGACATCATTCTTGGAAAGGTGGATGGTCAGCACAGGAGAGGAACAACCCAGATCAGATGGATTGACACAGTAACTGGGGGAATCAGAGTAGCTGTGTCAAAGGCAGTGAGATTGGCTGAAGATAGAGTAGTGGTCAGAGCTGCTGTACATAGGGTTGCTCTGAGTTGCAAGCGACTCAATGGCACATAACAACAACAACATGATGCAAACAAAAAGAATTCAGACTCAAAAAGCCATATATTATATGCTCTCATATGAATGTCCAGAATAGACAAAACTATAGAGGCAGAAAGCAGATGAAGACGCTCTAAGGACTAGGAGCAGGCGTCCTGGTGATGCAAGAGTTAAGCACTGGATTGAAAACCAAAAGTTAGTGGTTCAAATCCACCAGCTGCTTTTGTGGGAGAAAAGCTAGTTTAGCTCTATAAAGCTTTCAGCCTAGGGCAGTTCTACTCTGTCATGTAGGATTGTTCTGAATTAGAACAGACTAGAGAGCACCAGATAACAAGAGGGACAGGAGAAGTGGGCTTTAGAGTGACCACAACAGACCCACGTGATCGAGATTATATAGTGGTAACTGCTTCACAACATTGTGAACACACTTCATTGTACATTTGAAAATGGTGTGTTTTGTTAAGTGAATTTTATCTCAAAAACACAACTTTAAAAATAGTACTAGATAACGTCTTTATAGATGCTTGTCTCTATACTAAACATCAAAATGAACCTTGGTCAATGTACATTTTAATTCATATCTGTTTCATGTCTTGTTAGTACAAGATCAAATCTAATCTGAAGTTTATTGCCTGTTTTTAATAGCAAATGTGACTGTCAAGTCACATTTTCAACTCTTAACTTAGAACACTTTCTAAATCACCAACTTCTTTTCATTGAATAGAGTGGGAACCGAGACCAAGCCGGTGAGTCTCCTGCTACCATCTGACCCCACACACATGGCAGAAAGGGGAAGTGAGCAGGGGAGGAAGCACGTGTTTACTTCTGGCCACCAAACTGTGCCGCAACAGGTATGTTTAACTCCAACATATTTCTTCAATTAATACTTGACTAGCCACTCACTGGGATGGAATGTCAGGAGGCTGGAAACAGGGTCATGCACAGGAATGATGCAGACTCTGCATTTATGCATGGGTCAGTTGATCATCAACCAGTCTGATGGATAACTGTGCTGGAACACAGGATGGTGGAGGGGAACGTGTCCCAGGCAGGGTCTCAGGAGACTTGAGTTTAGGTTCTGGATCAGCTTGGAACCATCTTTTAACACGTTCATTTCCTGGTTTCTTCCTTTGGAAGTAAAAGGCTGCTCTAAATCCCGAGTTGTCAATGCTGCCTGTACATTAGGGTGAGCTAGGAACTTCTGATGAGCCGTGATGCTGAGCACCACAGCCCTGTTGTCAGCTCTGACTCCTAGTGATTCCATGTATAACATAATGAAACCCTGTCTGGTCCTCACAATCCCCACATTCTGAAGCCTATTGCTGCAGTCACCATGTCAGTCCATCTTGTTGTGGTCTTCTCTTTCACTGACCCCTTACTTCCCTAGACCAACTAAGTCCTTGCTCCTGGGGTGGGGCCTAAGCATTAGTATTTTTAACACTCACCAGGTGATTCTTGATTGCATGTTTGATCAATCTCTGATTGAAATCTTCTATTTCCTCCTCTTTGGCTCTGGTTGTCGGTGCATATAGTTGAATGATGGTGGACTTTCTTGTATGTGTACAGATATTATCCTGTCACTCACAACTTTGTATTTCAAGATCGATCTAGAAATTACTTTTTAACGATGAAAACAACCTGCTTGCTGCAGAAGGTCAAGGGCTGCAGCCTTCAATATGGATTGAAGCTCAACATAAAGAAAACAAAAATTCTCACCACTGGGCCAATTGGCAGCATTATGATAGATGAAGAGATTGAGATTGTTGACAGCTTCAGTTTGCTTGGCTCTACAATCAGCACTCTTGGCACCAGTAGCCAGGAAATTAAAAGACAAATTGCATTGGGAATGTCTGCTGTCAGAGACCTCTCCAAAGTACTGAAGAGAAATGATGTCAGTCTGGAGACTAAAGTGTACCTGATACAGGCCTGATCTTTGCAAATTACTTGCTATGTGTCAGAGAGCTGGACAATGACTAAAGATGATAGAAGGAGAGTTGATGCCTTTGAGCTGTGGTGCTGGAGAAGAGTCCTGGAGAAGGGAAAGCCAAGCTGCTCTTGGAGGCAAGGATTCTGAAGCTTTGTCTGACATACTTTCAACATGTTACAATGTGGGGATCAATCCTTGGAGAGGGACATCGTGCTTGGGAGGGTGAAGAGACAGCACAAGAGAAGACCCTTGATGAGATGGACTGATTTGGTGCCTTGGGTAATGGGGATACGTGTGTCAGAGACAATAAGATTGGCAAGAGATAGAGCAGGGTTTAGGGCTGTTGTACATAGGATCGCTATGAGTCACAGGCAACTCGACAGCATATAACAACAACAGTAGTAACAGGTGATTCTAATGTGTAGCCCAGAGTGACAGCTAGCAAACTAAGGATTTCTAAGGGCCTTTATATTTTTAGGATTCTGTTAAGAACAATCCCATACACCTCAAATTTTAGGGCTGATAAAGACAGACTGTACCTCTCAGTATCTGCATAGTTTTCTTCTTATTTCCAGCAAAGAGTCATCCATGTGTCATCACTGTTGTTGTGATGTGCAGTCAAGTCACTTAAGACTCAGCAACCCTATGAGCAACAGATCTGCCCTAACCTGAGCCATCTTCATGATCTCTGTCACATTCAAGCCCACTGAGATGATCACTGTGTCAATCATTTTGTTAAGGACCTTCCTCTCTTTCTCTGACCGCTCACCTTTCTCAGTATGATGTCTCTCTCCAAGGACTGTTTCCTCTTGAAAAATAAGGACTGTTTCCTCTTGAAAAATATGACCAACATAAGCTACATCAAGTTTCACTCCCTTTGCCTGTAAGGACCACTATGGTGGCACTTTCTTCAAAACAGATTTGCTTGTTCAACTGGCAGTCACTGGCACATTCAATAATCTTTGCCAAAACCTGTTTCATGCAGCCTGATCAATTACTTGCTTTATGTCCACTGAGAGGGTCACCATGTTCAGAAGTGTGGGCAGCAAAAATATTACACAAGCATCTATCTAATCCGTTTTTTTTTTGCTGTGGATAATCTATTCTAATTGTGAATCCTGCTAGATTTGAACTTCAGTGCTCTCCTATCCCTAATCTTTTCTCCATCCCTCAATGCCATCACCCTTGTTCAGATCTTCATGCCCACAGTGCAGATAACTTTCAGTATCTCTTGAGTGATTTACTCACCTTTACTCACTTCTCCTTACAACTTATTCCTCTACACATAACCAGCAAATGAATCTCACCTCTACAGCACTGTACTATTCATGAAACCCATGAGTGAAAGATTCTCATTGCTTTCTGAATTTTTTTAAAGCAAAGAATTTCATGCATTGCTCCTTATATGTCACTATTCCGTTGATTGTTACTATTACAGATTGAACTGTATCCCCCAAACTATGTGCTGTAAATTCTACAACATCCACATTTATAACCCTAATGAGGAATATTTTTTCCTTTGCTATGTTGATGAGGTCTAGTGCTGGGTGTATCTTAATCCAGTATCTTTTGGGATACAGTAGACCAAATTAAGCAAGAAGTCAGAAAGTGCAGATGGGGAAGACAGATACCATACCATACAAGATCATCAAGAAACCAAGACACAGAAGCTAAAAATAGAGACCAGGCCCTTCCTCCAGTGCCGGCCCAGGGAAAAAGCCTCCTCTGAGAGCTGGCATCTTAAATCTGGATTTCCAGCCTTCTAAACTGTGAGGAAACAAGTTCTTGTTTTTAAAACCACCCACTGTGGTGTTTCTGCTATAGCAGTAGCAGAGAAGTAGGACACAGGCTCACGGAAACCTCATGTGTGCACAGAACTGCACCCACAGGGTTTCTGAGGCTGTGGCTTTTCAACAGATCTCTAGGCCTGTCTTTTGAGCTGTTTTTCTGTGGTCTAGAACCACTACCTCTTGGCTAGTAGTCAGGGCTTGACCATCTGCATCACCGAGGCACCTAACACTTAAGTAATTGTCTATAAATACCACATCAGCTTTTCTACACATTAGAATACAAATCCAGACAGCCCTCTAAAAATGCCTGACCCAGTGCCTTTGGTCATGCTAGCCTTTGCACCTGGAAAGCCCTCCCTGGCTGGTAAAATTCTAACTATGTGAGGATCAGAATGTGCGGGGCGGGGGGGAACTAGGAAGACTGGGACAGAAGGCTCTGCATTCCAGGTCTAATCCGGTAACTATTTGAAGGATCATGAGCAAGTGGTTCATTATCTTCTTTAGACTTTCGCTCCTCAACTTTAAAACAGGTTTGAAAACCCCTTTACATGTTACGGGGTTATTAAAATGCTCCAGTGACATAATGTATAAAAATAGTTCCTACATTCTAAAGCTACTATATATATATAAAGGTGGCATTCATTGCCTTCCTAAAAGACCACACTGCAAATCCACTTTATTCAATGAGGTTTTTCTCAACTCTCCCTTCAAAAACACAGAGCTTTGAATTTTTACCATTAACAAGGTACAATTTTATCAGCAAAGAGTAGCACAAAGTAAAGGTTTTACTGTCTGGCAAACCTGAGTTTCAGATCTGTTACTTATTGGTAATAGGTTCCTGAGCAAGTTTCTTATCTGGGCATCAGTTTTACCCATCTGTAAGATTGGTACTGTAACAATACCTACTGCATAGGACTGAAATGAGGTAAATGCATTTAAAGCATTTACAAAGGAAAAAAAAATGCAACCAATAGTAAGCTTTCCTATTGCCTTCTTGACTTTGTGAGAATCAAGATCGGGTCCCATATGCTCACGTACATTTTTCCAGCATTTAGGACAGTGTACAATATCTATTGAGTGAATGATTTGGGTATGCCAAGATGAGGCTTTAGAATACAACTGATAGACTAAGTTACAGGAGGAGCAAATAAAAATTCACATACTCTTAGTGTGAAGAAGGGAGGTGCACTGCTGACACAAAGGCAGCACTTCACTCAGGGCTCAAATCCAACAGCTGCTCCTCAAGAGAAAGATGAGAAATCTCCTCCCACATAATTTACAGCCTCCTGAGAAGCTGCTGGAGAGTCAGCTATGGGTCAGTTCCAACTCACCGGCAATGAGTTTGAGTTGGAGTGTGAGGCATCTAAAATTCTTTAACTATCAGTCCTGCATTAGAATAAATCAACAAAAGCCCACCAGGCACAGAGATGACCTTCACAGACAGAGTGAGGCACTCATGCTACAAGAGAAAATTATAACTAGCCCACTGGGGAAAGAAGTAGGCTACTAGCTTTCTCAGCCCTAACTAGGATTCCAAACTCATCAGCCTTCTTTTGGAGGAACTTCTGCTTTGCTCAAGTAAAATGATCACACTGCCAGAAATCCATGAAGTATAGGATAAAGTCAGAATTAACGACACGTTAAACCAAAAAGCTATAGAAGCATAGATAAGTGAGCACTCAGTATTGGCTTCGGAATAACAGGGGTCAAGTTAGGCCATAAAGATGAGTGGGATTTGCAAAACTGACAGATGAGGGAGAACAGTATAAACTGAGGGCTGAGAGTGGAGAGTCTTGTATAACGAATGTAGGAGATGAATTGCCTGAGGTGGGGGATCTGGGGCTGTGAAGTGCCTGCCCTTTGATTAGATGGCTGCTGGGGCCCTTTCACACCGGTAGCCAGTGCATCCCAGAGACTTACCATGCTGGAGTGGACCGTTGCCTGCTCAATGTACCTCGCGATGCCTGTGACAAACGCATTCCTGTCCTCAAAGTTCGTGTCAAAGTTGGCCTATGGGATTTAAAGAGAGGAACATTTCATTGTTGGGAAACAGGTCCAAGAAGGCTGGGGATCCAGGGAATAGACAGTTACTAGCAAATGTCACAGCTCTCAGTGGAAACGTATCATTTTATTACCCTCTTATCTTCCCCAAACCTGCAAATCCCCCTCTCTGATTCACACCAGGCAGGGCAGATGAGAGACAGGCCCATCTCAGCTCTATTAGCAGTTTATCAGGGTCACTCAGTCATGTCTCATCAATAAATGTTTAAACCCTTTAAGTCCAAAGATCTGGTAAATGCTTATTGATTTAACACAGTAGTTCCAAAAATGCTCACCTGAAGGTGGGGATAAATATAGACAGCAATTTTTGTGATAAACACTGAAGTGGTATCTTATGATTAAAATAAACTAGAAGCAACCCAAATGTCTTTCACTAAATAATGCTAAATGAAAATAAGTATATCCATACAAAAGACTTGTAAATACTATGTCTTGATTAAAAATAACACAGCAGCATTATTATCAGTGACTGTCATGGAAAAATAATATACATTTTAAGTGAAAAATAGCCAAGTCATAGATTGAGATTATCTATCTATCTATCTATCTATCTATCTATCTATCTATCTTGCACAATTTCAATCTCATGATTCTCTTCTCTGAGGGCCTAGTGGTTAAGGAGTTGTACAGCCAACCAAAAGTCAGGAGGCTTAAATCTACCAGCTGCTCTAAGGAAGAAAGATGGGCAATCTCCTGTGTGAATTACAGAATCTAAAAACCCTGGAGGGTCAGCTATGAGTTCAGTTCCGATTTCTCTGCAGCATGAAATAAGAAAAAAAAAACAAACAAAAACCCATCACACCATATACAGAGTTACTAAGAAACAGTCATCTGTTAAATTACATTTCCTCTGTTGGCTTAGTGGTAAGGAATTGTGCTATCAACCCAAACGTACATAGGTTGTTTTGTCATCTGTTAAATTACACTTTCCTCTGGTGGCTTAGTGGTAAGGAATTGTGCTACCAACTCAAATGTACATAGGTTGGGATCCACCAGCTACTCTCTGGTAGAGAAATGGGTAATCTCCTCCTCTGAGATTTGTTGCCTTTGAAAACCGACTGGAGGGTCGGTTCCAACTTGACAAGATACAACAACAACATATTACTTGTAATAAAAAAGTATTAATTAAAATTTTAATTGATGTTAGTAATTGATACCTCAATCACGTGCTTAGTATGTGTTAACTGACTGAAATGAAAAATATGTTTCATATCTAGTCCTATTTTAGAAGTCAAAGAACTTTCTATAGGTCAAATATGGCTAAAACTTTCAAGTTGCTGTATCCTTTATTAACACAGCTATTCTTGTCACACACCCAACAAAGGCCTCTTTCTAAGGTACTCCAGTCCCTTGGTGCCTATGCCTATTGGTCCTGATGGGATCGTCCTCTGAGAGATTCAACTGTTGTTTACAACAAGCTGTCCTCTCTTAAGCAAGAGGAAAAACTGTAACCAGCTTCCCTGAGACATTAGCTGCTGTGAGGAGTTACAGTGTTCCTCTCACACACATGAAGGAGAAGTAATTATCCAGGCAGGCTCTAGGGGGTTCTAAATTGTGATATTTAATTCATGAGGTCAGAACTGCCGAAAGCTTGGTTGGTGCAGCAACAAGAACAGCCAGGAAGGTATTTGGGGTCAGAGCAGATCAACAAGCCTTCCCCAGGGAAGAGAAATAGTCCTGGTGAACATTTACTAGCTAATCTATTCCTTATACTCAGCTCCAAGGAGGGCACTAGGGACGTTTTCAGCTCTTGACCTCTCACCTTTTAGCAGCAGCCCCCTCCCCTCTCTCAGTCTTCATGGTAGACCCTTGTAGGGAATTCCTGGAGTTCCTGAGCCCATGCACTCTTTGCAGGCAGAGCTGGGAGAATACCTGGTACATGATGGAGGAGGGTGGTGGCTCGATGCATGGCTGCTGGTCAGGGAGGGGCAGCTCCTCCAGCAGGTCCACGTTGGACAGGGCATCTTCAAGGGTGACGTGGGTCGTCATGGTTGCAGCTTCCTTATTCTTCACTGAGAGAAAGGAAGAGAAGGACAAGAGAATTTCAGGGGGCCCTGCATGTTCCTCCCAATCACACCCCCAAACAGGCATTGCTCACAAGAGAAAGGGGCATTCTTTGTGACCAGTTCCACTTGCTACTTTTCCATAATCACACCCCAGGAAAGGCAGGTGTGTTAATGTGCACCTTTTATCTCTGAAGATTTCTTTATACCTTATGGATTCCCTGGGTGATGCAAACTGTTAATATTTTTAGCTGCTAACCAAAAGCTGGAGGTTCAAGTTCACCCAGAGGTTCCAGAGAAGAAAGGTCTGGTGATCTATTTCTGAAAAGTCCACTTCTGAAACACCATGGAGCACAGATCCACTGAGACACGCATTAGGTTACCAGGAGTCAGAGTCAACTTGCCTGCACTTATGCCCAGTGCCCCAATCCTTTATTTATTATCTCAGCTTAGATTCAAGAACTCTGTAAAATCAGCATGGTGAGTAGGACGTCTTTTATCCAAAACACTCATGGAGGAATAAGGCTCACAGAAGTTATGTAATGGCCTCACAAGCACAAAGACCTACAGGCAAGCAACCTAAAACAATGCCTGGCACAAGGCCACAGTCAGCCCACACCTATCCTACTGCTCCGGGAACGGGTATTAATCACTCCACTCTGAAATTACTGGAGCTCTGGATGCCTAGTGGTTAGAAGCTGGGCTGTAATCCACCAGCTGCTCTGCAGGAGAAGGATGGGCAATCTCCTCCTGTACGATTTCCTACTTTGAAAACCCGCTGGAGCGTCAGCTATCGGTTGGTTCTGACTTGGGGACACACAAAAGTAACAACAACTCTGAAATTAATACACAGCAAAAATATTCATGATTATAACAGCTAAAATATTCTATAACTTCAAACCAGATCTAAATTTTACAGACTAAATAAACTATCACCTGTCACGGAGTCAATTCTCTCTCTCAATGCTGAGAGAGAACTGTGTACCACAGGCTTCTCTGCTGGAAGGAGGTCACCAAGCCTTTCTTTCAAGGTACTTCTGGGGACACTCAAATCTTTAGCTCATTCGTTAGTTGTTTTTATCATCCAAAGACTTCACAGGCTATAAAACTGAGATGAAAAAAATTTAGACTCTAGCAATCCAAGCTGGTTTGGCAAGACAGAAGAGAAGCCCTGGTCTTTTTGAGCCGCACCAGAAAGAGGAGCCATAAGTGGGCATTTTTGAGTTCTGGGGCTGGCAGAGTGCAGCTGCTTCGAGGATGACAAGTTCGCCAGGCAGCAAAGATGCAGAGGGTCTGAAGACCACAGCCTCCAACCTGGGCCAACTGCTACTTTAAGAACTAAGAAAACAGACTACTATCTTTAAAAATGTACACTCAAAACACTGATAAAAATCAGTTATTTAAGCTTTAAAACAGATTCCATCAAATATGGTATCTTCTAAGTTACATTCACTGGTAACAATTCAGTAAAATTAGAAATTAATAAAAAAATCCATTCTAGTCTACAACCATACCACCCTGAACATATCTGATCTTGGAAACTAAGCAGGGTCAGGCCTGGTTAGTACTTGGATGGGAGATCAGCTGGGAATACTGAGTCTGAAGGCTTAAAAAAAAAGGGAGTGGGGAATTCATTCTACTAAAAATTTACAAAATACACTTCAAAATCATTTATCACCACTAAAGAAAAATTCAAATAGGAATTATAAAAGACTTTGAACCAAAAGACTGTTTTTAAAAAAACTCTAATGGATGCATTTATTACAAAATAAAAAAAAGAAAAGAACTTAATTTCCCATTCAAAAACCTAGGTAGAATATTTTTTTAAAAAATCAACCCAAAGAAATGAGACTGAGCACAAAAGCAGTCATAAATGAAACAAAAAGCGAAACAAAATAAGTAACACTAGTGGTAAATACTAAAACTGAGGGGTTTTTTTAAAAAAAGAAAAGCTAACCTTTTGTTGTTGTTACATATGAATAAGGAAAGAAAGAGAAAGCCTATCTTGCTAGTGGAAGAACTCCTCCCTCCTCCCTCCAATCCCAGGGAGCTGGGGATCATACTGAGGATTGATGTTTCTTGCATGAATGTCAGGTTTTGCTTTGCTCAAAGGAAATGAGGTACCAGATCAGGGTTGATATGAACCATAAATTTGCAAACTCAGCTACAAAGAGCTGAAACAGCAGCAAAGCATACCAAGATCCTGCTGCTGTATACTAAGACCACTGAGCTAGTATTTCCTTTAGACCCAAGGGTGGGAGGGCTTATGGGGGCTGAATTATCAAGAAAGACAGCCTTCACTCACTGCTGAGCACCTATGAAAGTCACACGTCACTGTGCACGCAAAAATACTGCCAGACCGTGGGAAGGTGAAGGCTTGTCCAAGGAGGACACACTGCACAGGAGCCACTTCCCCCTCTGCCATCAAGTGCCAGTCCTCATGGAGGTGGGTTTAATTGGTGGCTTCAGACCCACTCGGCACCTTCTACTCTCTTCTCTCTTCAGAATCCCAAATGTGGCATTCAGCTCCATAAAGCTTGTTTTCTTTTAAGTCCCTTTCACAATTGGAATAATAAGTTTACAGTGCATGATTATTTAAACTCTCTAACCATTAAGCACTTAATATTGCCCTTCTTTAGTTCACATAATAATAAAACTATCATTTCTTTAGACTTCCTCTGTGTCGGACACTGTGGCATGCACTTGACAACTGTAATGTTGCATCAGTCCTCTGAAAGGAAACAAGCACCTCAAGCCATTGCCATCGAGTCAACTCCAAACCACAGCAACATTGATGGACAGACAGAGTAGAACTGCCGCTGGATTGCCGAAGCTGTAAATCTTTACCAAAGAGTGTCATGTCTTTCTTCCATGCAGTAGCTGGTGGGTTGGAAGCACTGAACTTCAGGTTAATAGCTGAATTCTATAACCACAGTGTCACCAGAGCCCCTTCTACAAAGGTTAGCTCAATTATTTTCCATGTTAAACAGAAGTTCGGATTTTAACTCACTTTTAACAAGGTCAAGTGCTGGCAGGTGGTAGAGCTGGGATTAGAGCCAGGTCTGTCCAGCTTCAAGGTCATATTCCTGACCGCACATCTGCCTACATGCTGACTCCACTGTAATACTGCACACAATGACAGGAGCTTTCTCCCATACCAAGCACTGTGCTAGGTGAGTTGAAGCACTATACATTAGCTCATGTCAACCCTGCTTATGTCAAAGAAGCATACGCTTGACTTCTTAATGAATAAGTATCTGGACTCCATTCAAAGGACAAGACATTTGCCTTTTTAAAAGAGCTTCCAATCTTGTTTGCAGGGGACTCTGGTGGACAAGTGGTCGGAGCTGTGCTGCCAATCTAAAGGTGCATGGTTTGAATCTGCCACCTGCTGCTTGGGATAAAGGTGGGCATCTCTTCCTGTGCAATTTATTGTCTCTGAAAAACCACTGGAAGGGTTTTATTGGGAAAAGGTGTTATTGAGGTGTGGAGAGGGAGGTCTTCTCATGTGCTGATGCTAGGTATGTAAAATGGCACGACCATTATAGAATAATTAGGCAATGCTAGCAAACTTTCATGAGCATTTTATCTTTTAATCAGAAATTTCACTTTTAGGAATCTATCCCAAAGATCAGGCTGGCAATAACATAGGTGTAATATAGGTCCTGCAGCACCATCAGTAGTGGTCTGGAAGCCATGCAATATCTGCCTGAATAAACCATGGATTGTCTACACAGTGAAGTAGCAGATAGCAGTGAAACAGATAAGGAATCTCTCTACGCATGCAACAGTGGGAAGATCTGTAAGACAGAAGTGCTATAACTTACATACAAAAGAGGAGTAAATATACATACATGCACGTTGTTGCTGTTATGTGCCATTGAGCGGCCTGCTATTCATAACAACCCTATGTACAGTAGCTCTAAACCATGCCCTATGCTAAGCAAGTCTCACTGTCTCTGACACACCTACCCACATTATTCCAGTTACTGTGTTAATCCATTTCATCCAGGGTCGTCCCCTTGAGTGCTGCACCTCTACCCTTCCAAACATGATATCCTTCTCCAAGGACTGATCCCTTCTGGCTACATATCTGAAGTATATGAATCTTTGCTTCTAGGGAGCAGCCTGGTTTCACCTTCTCCAGGACAGACCTGTTTATTGTCCTGGTAATCCATAGTATATATTCAACATTCTTCTCTAGCACCACAACTCAAAGGCATTGATCCTTCTTCTATCGTCATCCTCAGTTATTGTCCAGCTCTCTGATGCATAACAAGTAACTGTGAACACCACAGCCTGTATCAAGCGCACCTTAGCATCTAGATTTACATCATTCTACAGAGGTCCCTGACAGCAAACCTACCCACTGCAATTCGTCTTTTGATTTCCTGACTATTGGTGTCAAGAGTGGTGATTGTAGAACCAAGCAAGCTGAAGTTACCTGCCTATTTTAAAGCAAACAATAAAAGGTTAAACCAGATAATTTTAAAAATTGGTTACGTATAGTGAAGTGTGGCCCAGTGGTTAATATGCTCATTTGCTAAACAAAAGCTCAGCTGTTCGAACACAACCAGCCACTGTGAGGGAGAAAGATGCTTCTGGAAAGATTTTCAGCCTTGACTATCATGTGGTGCATTCTACTGTACCCAATAGGATTGCTCTGAGTCCGAACCACCTCAACTAGGCAATGGATTTGGGCGCAGGTTGATAAGTAGGGAAAAAAAGGGATGGAATATAATTAGAGGGACAAGGAGAGCAGCTCGAGTTCTACTATACCTTGCTTTTTCTAGATTTCCCTTTCACATTATGTAAGGGAAATTTAAGTTTAAAAAGCAATCTCCAAACAAAAAGTAAAGTAAAACAAATGAATCAAAATGTATGTCTAGTTGGTGGCATAACCATCCAGAAACTATTCTAAGTGGTCTAAAGAGTCAATAATCTAACTGCACATGCATAGTGAGACATACTCTAAGAACAATAAAACAATATTAAAAAAATATATT